GGCCCCAGTGTTATGAATATTATGAGATCAGTACCCTTTGGTAATTTAATATGGATATTCAAGAGTATGTGTTTTATGTTTGTTCTAGATCCATCTATTCATGTAGGAGTACTAAGCCGTTTGATATTTATATAGCTTATTAAAGAAAAATGATATGGTGCACCCGGCCCCAGTTGTATGGATATTATGTGTGAAAAGACCTTAGCTATTTGAAAAAGATCAAGTGTACGTGTAATACGTTTGGTCAAGATCCATCTAATCATAAATGAGTATTATGCCTTTTAATATTTATATAGCTTATTCAAGAAAAAATGAAATGGGGCCCCCGGTCATAGACATATAGATATTATGAGTGCAGTACCCTTCGGTATTTGAATATGGATAATCAAGTATATGTGTAAAAAATTAGGTAAAGAACCATCTATTCATGTAATAGTATTAAGTTTATTTATATTTATATAGCTTATTGTAGAGAAAATAAAAAGGGGCTCCCAGCCCCAGAGGTATGGATATTACTAGTTCAGTAACCCTTGGTATTTGAATATGGATAATCAAGTGTATCTGTTCTAAGTTTTGTCAAGAACCATTTATTCATTTATGAATACTAAGCCTATTATTATTTATATACCCTATAGAAGGAAACATAAAATGGGGCCCCCCAGCCCCAAAGGGATAGCTATTATGTGTTAAGTACCTTTTTATAATTTAGTAATGATCAACAAATATATGTGTAATAATTAGAGACCGACCGAATTTCGGCTTCGGCTTCGGTTTCGGCGCCGAAAGTGGCCATTTTATCACTTTCGGCCAAGTTTCGGTTTCGGTCGAAACTGAACTGTTAACTTTCGGCTTAATTTCGGTTTCGGCCGAAAGAGAAAAGTTAAATTTCGGTTTTTCTTCGGTTTCGGCCGAAATTGACTTAGACTTTCGGCCATCAGACCGAAAGTGACGCAGGTGTGCGGTCATTTAATACTCAGCGAAAGTGATATTTAACAACAAACTAAGCGACATTTAAGAACAAATTAAGCGATCTTTGAGAACAAACTAAACGATATTTAACAACAAACTAAGCGACATTTAAGAACAAACTAAACGATCTTTAAAACAAACTAAGCGATCTTTAAGAACACTCTAAGTGATCTTTAATAACAAAATAAACGATCTTAAAGAACAAACTAAACGATTTTTAAGACCGAACTAAATGATCTTTAAGAACAAAACAAATGAACTTTAATAGTAAACTAAATGATTTATAAGAATAAACTAAACAATCTTTAACAGAAAACTAAATGTTCTTTAGGAACAAAGTAAAAGATCTTTAAGAACAAAATAACCGATCTTAAGGAACAAAATCGATTATCTTTAAGAACAAACTAAGAGATCTTTATGAAAACACTAAGCGAACTTTAACAAAAAACTAAGCGATCTTAATAAACAAACTAAACGATCTTTAAGAGCTAATAAAGCGATCATTAACAAAAACTGGACGATCTTTAACAACAAACTAAGCTATCTTTAAGAACAAAGTAAAAAGATCTTTAAAAACAAACTAAGCGATCTTAAACAACAAACTAAACGATCTTTAACAACAAACTAAACGATCTTTAACAACAAACTAAACGATCTTAAACAACAAACTAAACGATCTTTAACAACAAACTAAGCGATCTTTATGAACAAACTAAACGATCTTTAAGAGCAAATAAAGCGATTTTTACAAAAACTGGACGATCTTTAACAACAAACTAAGCTATCTTTAAGAACAAAGTAAAAAGATCTTTAAAAACAAACTAAGCGATCTTAAACAACAAACTAAACGATCTTTAACAACAAACTAAACGATCTTTAACAACAAACTAAGCGATCTTTAACAACAAACTAAACGATCTTTAAAAACAAACTAAGCGATCTTTAAGAACAATCTAAACGATCTTTAACAACAAGATAAGCGATCTTAAACAACAAACTAAACGATCTTTAACAACAAGTTTAGCGATCTTAAACAACAAACTAAACGATCTTTAACAACAAACTAAACGATCTTTAACAACAAACTAAACGATCTTTAACAACAAACTAAACGATCTTTAACAAAAAACTAAACGATCTTTAACAACAAACTAAACGATCTTTAACAACAAACTAAGCGATCTTTAATTACAATCTAAACGATCTTTAACAACAAGATAAGCGATCTTAAACAACAAACAAAGCGATCTTTAAGAAGAAATTAAGCGATCTTTTAGAACCACAATTTTTAGAGACCTGGTTTAAAAAAAAGATATTTTGCATTAATTCCCCCCCCCCACACACACCAATTTTTTGCCAAATTATCTCCTACCATAATAATTTTAAAAAATTGCAAAGCAATTTAAATTACTTTTATATTAAAATGGTAAAATCTAAAGTATTCATTAGATCAAGGGTCTCAAACTCAAAACATCAGGGGGGGGGGGCGGGGGGCCCATGAGGTAGTGTCTTAATGAGACTGCGCCGCATGAAGTAATCCACAAAAAAGCGATTACAACTGTTACAATCTGCTCAACCTTTAAAAATAACAATACAATCATTAAGGGTTCTCAAGAACTAGGATTCACTTTCATCCATCTACTCACTGTTGCATACAAAAATATATAGAGACATTAAAAAAAAAAAAATCAGAATTAGACTAGTCGGTGAGTTTCCACTGAAACCGTCGCGGAGAGTCACGTTATAGATATGAGAATGGGGGGAAACGGGCCTGCGCATTTACACTGAACAGAACTTTTCTGTCCTGTAGCAAGCGGGCCGCAAAATATCGTCTTGCGGGTCACAAATGGCTCTCGGGACGCGAGTTTGAACCCCTATTATTAATAGATAGATGTTTATTTATTAATTATTAAAGATGTTTATATTAGATGTTGATTTATTAATATTCACGATTATCTCATTTTTTATAAAAAGAATGTAAATATTTATACTTTCCCACATCATTTTCGATGTATGCAGAATGTATGCGGGTACGAATTTCAAAATATCTTAATATTTCATTTTCGGTTTCGTCTTCGGTTTCGGCCGAAATTCATTTTTAACTTTCAGCCTTTTTTCGGTTTCGGCCGAAAGTCATTTTTAAATTTTCGGCATTTTTTCGGTTTCGGCCGAAAGTTATTTTAAACTTTCGGCCTATTTTCGGCTTCGGCCGAAATCAGAAAATCACTTTCGGTCGGTCTCTAGTAATAATTTTGGTCAACATCCATCTATTCATGTTTGAATATTAAGCCTATTGATATTTATATAAGTTATATTCGTAAAAATGAAATAAGGCCCCCGGCCCCAGAGGTATGGATATTATGAGTTCAGTACGCTTTGGTTATTTGACTATATATTGTCAAATGTGTGTGTCCCCAGTTATGTCAAGATCTATCTATCTAACTAGGATAATGTTTGTTTATTTTATTTATATATCTCAGGTAAGTAAAAGAAAACGATTTGGGGCCCCCGGTTTTGACTGTTTTGTGGAATTGAGTTTTGAAAAGAAACGTAATTAACTTTTGTAAGTGAGCTGTAAAAAATAAGCCTGCCAAACTTCAGGCTGGTATCAACATGGGATGGAGAACATAGCTTGTTTTAGACAAAATGTATTTGGGCCCCCGGCTCCAGTGGTATGGATATTATGAGATCAGTACACTTCGTTAATTAAATATGGATATTGAAGAGTATGTGTGCTATATTTTGTCAAGATCCAGCTATTCACGTCGGAGTAGTAAGCCTATTGATATTTATATAGCTTATATGAGGAAAGAAAATGGGGCCATAGGCCCCAACGTGATAGATATTATGTGTTAAGTACCCTTCGGTATTTGAATATGGATAATACAAATGTATTGATATTAAGTTTGGTTAAGAGCCCTCTATTCATGTTCTTCATGTAAGAGTATTTGTTGATCATTTTGTTTCAACAGCTCATATTAGAAAAAACGACATTTTGGGCCCTTGGCCCCAAACGGTGTAGATTTTCGAAATAAAACCTGCTTAACTTTTATAGGTAAGCTGTAAGAAATAATCCTGCCATATTATAGGCTTCTATGTACAGGGGAAGTTGGAGAATTAGTTATGAGTTAGTGAGTGAGGGCGTTGCCTTTTATTAGTATATATAAATTATATATATATATATACATATAGAAGTGAAAATTTGAGGATTTGTTGGTGGGTTTGTATACTATTTGGCTGTTCCTTTTCATATATATTGATGGATTTTGATAAAACTTGGCACATATTAACAATTATTGGGAATTTAATACTGGAACTTTTAATTTTTTATAATTTTCAATTTGTGGCATTAACCCCTAAATTTATTTTTTTTCTTTATATGAGCTATATAAAAAACATTCCCAATAAACTCTTACACAGGAAATGGATTGATCTTGACCTAATTTAACACAAATAAAAACCTATTGATTTTCTTGACTGTCTTTGGCGTACATACATTTTCGTGATCCGTGTATTGACCCAAAGAGCCGTGTAGTGTATGGTTGTGCATTATTCCTCCTCATTATTGCAAGGTACGTTATATTTTCAGTAAGCGTTCACCCTGATAGATAGATTTATATATTAAAGTTACATTACTAATAGAAAATGATTGTGTATGTTCCATTCACTGTTGTACGATTTTTGAACGAGTAAAATAATCTGATTAAATTAAATAATCAAATATATTGGTGTGACACACAGAACATTTACTCTGTCACGTCAATATCATAGTAATGCACATCAAAGACAATTCGTGGTATTTGAATTTAGAACTAGCCTAGAAATATGCCATAAAAGTTATAACAACCATCCCAAAAAATAGTTTTATATAAGAATTCTATTACGCTGACAATGTCAGCGAACACTCTTTGTAAATTTCCAAATGCAATGTAACATCTAAAGACACTTCAATCAATACTTTGCTAAATTTAACTCCAATGTTACGACGTGCTACCGAAGACTAGCCCTGGTGAATTCATGCATCGTTGGTTCTCGCTACACACCTACAAACTGCAACCAGTGAAGATTGCATGTGTGTGTTTACGCAAAGGACATAGCGTTTCATAGTAGATACATACGTTAATAGACAGTATATTTTGGTAAACATTGGATCAGATTACACTTAAATTAATATGAAATATAAGTACTTAATATATTTTGAATTAAGTAAATTAACTGTGTAAAGTACAGTACAGTGTTTTAAGTATTAAAACAATTTTTAAAAAAATAATATGTATAGAGAAAAGGGATTAATTCATCTTTCAGTTTTTTCTTTTTTTTTTTTTTATATCTGTATTTTTTGTTTGAATTTCTAAATCTTTTTAAAGGTTAAAAACTATTAGCTTTTTTATATTTGTGAAACCATAAAATTAATGATTAAAACTCGAAAAAAAGTGATGATGCATATTTATTTCTAAATAACACACTATGTATATAAACATTGTAATAAAACTTAAAAATAAAAATTAATTCATCTTTCAGTTTTTTCTTTTTTTTTTTTTTTATATCTGTATTTTTTGTTTGAATTTCTAAATCTTTTTAAAGGTTAAAAACTATTAGCTTTTTTATATTTGTGAAACCATAAAATTAATGATTACAACTCGAAAACAAGTGATGATGCATATTTATTTCTAAATAACACACTATGTATATAAACATTGTAATGAAACTTAAAAATAAACGGATGATTAGGAAGGACATTTTCCCATTCATGGAGTTTGCTTAAAGGTTTGGAAAATTTTTAATTAAAGGTAGGAAACTTTTTTTATTAAACTTTAGAAATAGATTAGAATACTGTTTGTTAGATTAAGTGTTACCATTACATAATTAATTGTATTATTTTGTATTATTTAACATTTATACTTTTAAAACGTATTTTTTTTATATTATAAATGGATATAAAAGTAATAGTAATAGAAAGGTTGTTGCAAAACAAGTACAATTTTGTAAAAGTTTCCCGGACTGGTAAACTCAAAAAATAATTATTTTGCCTATAAGATTAAAAAATAATAGTATTTTTAATGGAAGTATTTTCACTCTAGTTAAAACTATAATTAAATGTCTGTAAATGTTTATATGTAAATAAATTTTAAAAAAATACATTTATAAATATATAAATACTGTCTGATATAACAGACGTGGTCCGGGTTTGCATTAGGACCCAATCCTGGTGGGACCACTATACCATTGGGACCCCACTGCCATTCTGACACCGATCACAGCGCAGTCCAGTTTCAAGGTGTGATACTGATCCTGGTGGTATCCCGTTTTCTTGTGGCTCCGTATCCAGGAAGAATCCAGGTTGCGGTGTTTTCCCGATCCCGTCGGTATCCCTATCTTGGTGGATCCCTATCCCAGTGGGCTACTGATCCCGTTAGGATACCATCCTCTGGGGGATCCCATTCCAGCTGCCGATCCCCTTTACCGATGTTAAACCTTTTCCTGATAATACCCCGATCCGGCTTTGATTTGATGCCGTTACCTGATGGGTTCGCCTTACCAATGGGCTCGCCATTATAATCCTGTTCCTCTATTCGATCATGCTCAGTACGATTTTGTTCGAATAAGCATTTAGATACCCTAATATATACCAGTAGAACAATATAGAACCTTCTAGAACATGTTATATTAAATTTAATATCCTCCATGAAACAGGTAAAGATTACTTTTCTGCGTCATTATTTTATGAATGCGAAATATTATACAACTAAATTGTACTATTATAACAATAGTATATTTAAATTTAATTGGGGTCCTAGTGGGCGACCATTTATAAATTAATTTTTGACTATATCTGTGATGGGGGGCCTAACAATCTTTCAGATTAATTATGGAGTTACATTTTAAAATTAAAATTAGATTTTGCCATAACTAGAGCTTAGTTAAAGTATCGAACACTCTAGAAAATTCTAGATCTGCTCTGAATGCATTGGATATTATTAGTTTTAAATCCAACGATGTTTTAATACTGAAAATGACGTGTATGGCTACCACGCTAGGCATATATCAATCAATTCACATTGAAACTATAGCGTTGTCTAAGCCTATTGATATTGATATGGCTTATATATGGAAACATGAAATGGGCCCTCCGGCCTCAGAGGATTGGATATTATGAGTTCAGTACCATTCGCTATATGAATATGGAAAATATAGTGTATGTGTGCTAAATTTGGTGAAGATCCATATATTCATGTGGGAGTATTAAGCCTATTAATATTTATATAGCTTATTGAATAATAAATGAAACGGGGCCCGGTATGTATATTATGTGTCTAGTAACTTTAGGTATTTGAATATGGATAATAAAGTGTATGTGTACTAAGTTTGGTCAAATGCAATCTATTCATGTAGGAGTATTAAGCCTATTTACCCATATAACTTTCTGGAACATTCTAGATTAAATGTAATATTCTACACGAAAGGAGTAAAACATGTCGTTTTTTAGTAATTATTCTTTGAATAAGAAATATTATCCAAATAACTGCATTACTATAACTATATCAAATATAAGTTAAAAGCGGTGCCCCGGGTGACCATTCCAAAATTGTGCCGAGGTAGTTTTGATGGAGATGGGGCCCTATAACAATCATGTAGATACGTTATTAAGTTGAAATGTAAAATGTGTCTCATTAAAATCCGTTTAAAAATGCCATAGATGTAATAGCTTTTTTAAATTATCGAACTTTCTAGAAAATTCTAGATCGGCCCTGCATGGATCGGATATTATTAGTTTTGAATCCACTGATATTTCAATAAAAAAATGAAGGGTATTGCAACCAAGCTATGCATATAGCGTTGAATTTACAAAGAACCCAAAGTGTTGTCTAAGACAAGCCTGCACAACTCAAAATGTAGGGCGCGTCGTAATACTTTATGAAAAACATTGCGTGTCAAAAGAAAATAGGACAGGACTTGCGCGGGGCCGAATAATATATGACATGGGGGAAAATAATTAGAATGAAGAATATTTTCTAACTCCGCAGGCCGAAAAGGGGTGCTGGCGGGCTGTATGTTGTACATGCCTGGTCTAAGCCTATTTATATGTATATAGCTTATTTAAAGAAAAATTAAATGGGGCCCCCGTCCCCAAAGTACTTTAATATGGGCAATATAGTGCATGTGTACTAAATTTGGTCAATATCCATATATTCATGTAGGAGTATTAAGCCCATTAAATGTATATAGCTTATATACGACAAACGAAACGGGGCCCCTGGCCCAGAGAAATTGATATTATCAGTCCAGTACCTTTCGGTCCTTGAATTTAGAGTATCAAATGTATGTGTACTAAGTTTGGTAAAGATCCATCTATTCGTGAAGGAATATTTGTTGCCAATTTTATTGATATAGCTCATATTAAAAACAAAACGAATTATGGGCCCCCGGCAGTAAACGGAATGTTACAAAAAGTTCATAACACCTTAAGATTTTCTTCCGGATTATAAGGGATGTATGTGCCAAGGTTGGTCAATATCCATGACTCCATGTAAAAATAAATGTGGAACAAATCAAGCCACAAAAAAAAAACAAAAAAAACGTTCACTTATATATAAATATATATATATATATATATATATATATGATAAGTTAAGAATCTTTTATTGATCCAAACAAATGGAAATGTTTGATGATTGCATCGCACATTTTCAGCACATAAATAAAATAATTTGAACACAAGACATATTTTAAAAAATTATAAATAACCGCCATTTGTTGAGTTCTGTTAGCCACATCAGGGACTTCTTAGTTTTCATTAAGATTTTTTGACTTCACGTGGAGCACACTGATAAATTTCTAAAAAAATGGGGAACAAAAGAATTAGTATATCTTTCAGTCCTCGCCCTGACGGAAAGAATTCGTCCCCAACGGGCCAATCCTATGTAACTGTAATGAAAAGTGTTGGATGTATCATCCAAAACGGGTTAAGTTTGATTAAATAACATCTTTCTTCAAATAGTTCACCAAGTTAAGGAAGTTTAGTTTGTGTTATGGTTCTAGCTTTCTTGATTAGTTGGTGTATGAGGTGTTCAATATTAGACGTTGAATTTCCAAACAAGCATGTAATACTGAAATTAAGTTGGCTACCAATTATGGCTTTAAAATAAGTTAACGTCTTGTTGGTTTACGCTGAAAGTGTACAGTTTTTTGAGGTAGAAGAGTCGTTGGTTGAATTTCGTATACATCAGTTTGCCGGGGTCATTTCATGTTAGCTTATTATTAGTGGTGACATCTAAGTACTTGTATGCCTCTACTTTTTCTACACTACGATTTTTTATGTTGAGATCTGTAATCTGGTGTGTCCCCCTCATGAAATCAACAAACATTTCCATTGTGTTTGAGACATTCAGCTGGAGAAAATTTTCATCGCACCAATTGATAAAGCTTGTAACTAAGTTGCGGTATAAACCTTCTCGTTCCGATATTAAGTCAACGATTGTGGTATCACCAGAAAATTTTCAGATTGGAACGGTGTCTCTTGAACTTTGAATTTCATTGATATATAAATATATATATATATATATATATATTTATNCAGGACTGCACTGTAAGTACATTAATTTACAAGACTGTAGTAAGTACAGTAATTTACAAGACTGTTGTAAGTACAGATATTTTTAAAAAATCAAATACAAAAGTGAAATGTTGACCCTAACAGAAATCCTATTGTCAAATGGAAGATAATTAGTTCTTTATATAATTCATCCACCATCAAAGGATGAATATGGATAGAGCATTCGCAATGTTTAGGAATTGTGAAGTCTATATCACGATCACACGCTAAAATCAGACATGTAAAAATGTAATCTTAGGCTTGAAAGGACATTTATAGATTGTATAAACTGCCATAGGAGTGGAGAAGGTTCAACATCGATACCTTAGAGGAAAAGTAGCCAGAAGGCAGACATAGGCTTGCATGAAAAGATTTAGAGCAGGTGCGAATCCAAGTATGGAAAAGAAAAGCATTAGTTAGGACTGAGTGGAAGGACCTGCTGAAGCACGCAAAAACCCTATATTTGCTTTAGAGTAAAGTAGATGGATGGGTGAACACATCTATATGTATATATTTTACAACAATATGGCTGACTCACAAATTTGTGTGTATGCAAAATGTTAAAAATAGAGGAAAGCTTTGAATGAATGTAAATACAAATATATACAATTAATCCGTGAATCTAGGTTAAGGCAACGTGGTTTAACTCAAACTATATAATATTGAATTGAATCTCGAAGTCAATCTAAGGCTGATAGTAATGTCAATTTGGCAACTCTTTCGACGCAATTAAGGAAACGTTTTATTGACAATCGTCAGTACAAAGGATCCGCTTGCTTTTGGAGAGTATCGATATGCCTGGAAAAGGCAACACCTGGTCTCCATAAAAAATCAACAACACGAATGCTAAGTAGCGACACTGACGACGACACTTGACGATGTAGAGCTTTTTGTAAAGGAAGAGAAGTAAATATAGGCCCTTCAATCAAAAAGAACATAGGGAAGAACAAATTTAACAATGTGTATATGTTCTTCTGAGAAATATGCATCGGAGACTTCCAATCCAGGATCAGTTTCACAAGCCATTTTATCAATTGTAAAAGCTACTCCATCTTTTCGCGAAGATGCAAGGCTGCCCTATACATTTATATATGAATCAGCGTTCATCTGAATCGAACAGAGCATAAACAAACGGTATCTAGTCTTGCTTCCTGTATTGCTTGACTGTTTCAGAAGTACGGGCTGGAGCAGTACGCTCTTGAGCAATTTCCCTCTGCTGGACAGTTTTTGAAACTCGTGATGCCTTTTTTCGTGCTGAGCTTTGTGTAGACCAATAGCTTTTCTTAAGATGGCATTGACAGCGAAAGTAATCCTTTGTGACGAATATTACAAATGCATTTGGGACCTATTATTAGATATCGATTGGCAAAATAAATTTCAAATTTAACGTCGCCTGTTATGTCGATGTTTTTATATAATTTCATTCCATTATGTTAGGATATTCCTAAAGTTAATAACGTCCACATATTAGGATCTTACTTCTTTTTATACAAACAACTTTCGCAGTATTTTCGTTTACCTAGGGTACAATACTTGAAGTTGCTTAGGAATAACATTACTTGATAAATCACAAAATCAAGTGTTAAAATTTCGATAGTGCAATATTTCGACAAATTCATTGTCTAGGGTGTAATTGAATTTCTTGACTCACCATCGATTTTTGTCCAATGTCTGTTTTAAAAAATCGAAAACACAACCTTCTATCACATAATTACTTAATCATAGCCATAAAAAATAGTGAAACATTGATAGCATCACTTCCTTGTCTTAAATATGTCACAACATACTGAGCTCATTTAAAAATAACAACAAAAACAAGCACTCTACAACAAACATTGCCGAATGTGTTTTCTCAAATTACGTCCCCGTGCAAAAACTTAGAAATGTAAAAAGATGTTACAAATTTTGAAACCTTTGCGACCGTGTGTACAAGAATTCACCATTTTTTTTTTAGCGAAACCCATGAATAGTAAAGGAGCACTTAAAGAAAATATATTTATATGAAAATCGTAACCTAAAAGAGATTTTAGGTCCTAGGGCAACAAAATGGATATTTTAAAATGGTCGAACTATTTCAGAAACATTTCGCCGGTGTTTGAACAACACTTCACCAAATTTTTACCGCAGTCGGATGAATAGAATCGGAACTCATACGGAAATTATATTTGCATACCTCATATCAGAAAAAAAAGAATTTAGAGCCTTTAGCCCCGAACTGAATGTTGTATAATTGCTTATAATGTTCAGCACAAACTTAAATTTTTAAAATAGTATTTATACTAGCCAATATGACTTGCTAAACATCGTATTTCATTCGGAAAACAACAATTGTACAGCGTTTTAATTGACATAAAAAAAAAATAGGGCAACGTAAAAATTTTTTTTAAAAATCCCAGTGGATTAAAGTTCACTCGTTTCACTTTAGGATCCTGTTTCTCGTTGGGATCGTGTTGCCGTGGGATATTTTTTTCCCATTAGAATTATAATGAGTCAGTTCAACAAGTAACCATGAAAGTATATAATTAAACCAACATCTCAATAAGCATTTATATTCACTAAATAAATCCCTATAGTGCTATATAACTCACAAAGATCGTAATTCTACCGTGATCGGGATCCAACCGGGATTTGGATAGCTCCAGAAACTTGATACCACAGGCTCAGGATATCAACGGGAGCGGGAACCAACCGAATAATAATGCATACGGGATAGGGAACACGCAATGATCGGGATTCCACAGGGAACGTAATCCTATCAGGAACGTGATTTAATGGGGTCTAGGATCCCATCAGAATCCAATGGTATCGGAATGAGGATTGGAATCAGGAACTCACCGGTATCGGGATCAATGTTCCCTCTAAGATTTGCTGATTTGTGTGCAAAATTATACAGCTGTGTGCAAAGTTTTAAAGCATCAGTTTTTTTGTGTGCACAATTTTACAGCCCACAAACACAAACACACACCGAAATGGAAATTTGCTGTGCGGAAACTCAAAACTGCTGAGCGGCTTCTGTGAGATACCTGCGCGACCGTGCAATTTAAAGGGAATATTGATCGGGATCACACATGGATCGGAATCAACCGAGATAAGGAACCCACAATGATCAAGATCCCACCGGGATCGCACTGCCGATAGTATCGGATACCATCGGGATCCAACCGTAATCGATATCCAACTGGAATTGGCATGTAAACGGGGCCAGGATTCCACGGGAAACCGGAATATCAGGGAAAATGGGATACAATCGGGAAATGGGATCCAATTGGGATCCCATCGGGGAACGAAAGATTTACAAAAGTTATTTTACATTTGTTATTATAGGAGACAAAGCATTTTAAAAGAAATATATGTATTTGTTTGTTTTGTTTGATTGTTTTTTTAATGGCGATACATTTCAATGTTAATTTAAACGCTGTAGAGGGTGTTGTTTTCCGAATGCAATCCCTGGAAACACCGGGTATATTGGCTAGTAATTCATTTAGTTTTATAACGACCAATCCCTTACAACCTTAAATGTTTGCTGATTATTATTTAACGTGGACATGGTTAACATCAAAGATTTTTAATCAAAAAATCATAGAAAACTATTTAATGCAGATTTGAATATAAATGTATATATATATAGAAATATATATATAAGTGTGTGTGTATATATATATATGTTTAATTTAAATTAAATTTGGATAGAAGATATATATTATTTTTAATTCATCACATATATTATTTCTTAATAAAGCATTTATTTATCTAAGAAATTAATATAATTTATTACAAACAAAAAGTCAATGGCACCAACATTTAAATAGGCAAACATCAATAAAATTATATAATTTTAAGGAACTATTCCTAATATATTTGTCATTTTCAATTGGGACAATTATTACAACTAATACATTTAAAAAAGAGGAATAACTCAAATATTTGTTCTAGATAATTTATTTCAATTATCCCGGTTGTCACGCCCCTCTTAAGGTAGTTTTGGAGTTTATAATCGTACTGGAATGTAACAAATAAAAAAAAAAACATAATGTGCAGCTACAAACAAACAAGCTTACACATTTTTATGAGTGTTTTTTTTTGGTCTTTCCTTATAGTTTTACTATTAGCTATATTTGAATTTAATTTTACACATGTTTGTTACTAAAGTAATTTCGTAGGAATATAATAATTTTTACTATTCTTATTAGCATTTTGATCTATAATCTAGAATCGGACTAGAAATAAGTGTTACACTATTTCCAGATAATACATTTTTACGTCATTATTTTATTATCATTACATTATCGAATTTTTCAAATTTCAAAGATATTAAATTAGCATTTACGATGAAATCTTTTTATAAATGACTTTAAATTTTAATGGTTCAAAGACTACACTTTTAGTTCCAAATTACTTTTTGCGTAAAATATCATGTTTTTTTTTTTTCCATGGCTGCTGTCTCGACAAGTACGGGAGCTCAAACCGAAAACAATAGACCAACTAATGGTCGCTAAATTAAACAAGTAAACATTATATAAATAAATGTATGTACATATATTTTCATAATCCTTTTTGTTTTGTTCTTTTTTTTTTTTTTTTGCTTTGACAAGCAACGCCCTAATGATCTTAAAAGAATGGGAACAAAACGGACTCATTGGCCAACGATACTGTTTTTGCTTTCAGCTTATTCTTGGCGAGTAAAATGATATTTAGTATACTTGATTTTACTATTTATTTTTTTTTATTATTTTTTTTTTTTTTTTTTTTTTTTTTTTTTTTTGCTTTGACAAGCAACGCACTAATGATCTTAAAAGAATGGGAACAAAACGGACTCATTGGCCAACGATACTGTTTTTGCTTTCAGCGTATTCTTGGCGAGTAAAATGATATTTAGTATACTTGATTTTACTATTTCATTAGGCAAATTAATATATATATTTATAAATAAGTATCCAATTACTATCCTGTTATAACTATAATTCGTAAATAATACAATCATGGAATTACTCTCGAAATATCACCCTTTTATTTTCAAGGAAATATTTTCATACAACTGGTATTACATGTTTTAAATTGAAATTGATAAACGGAACATGTTTTGTTTTGATGATAATACCGCTAAAATGTGTTTTAAGCTGATATTTTAACCTACTAAACATTAAGGAATGAAAGCTTTTGATACCTTTTCAGGGCTATGTTTTATTATGAACACAACGCAATCAGTAGAAATTTAAAACGTTTATGTGTGTACTTAAAAAAAAACAAATCAATAATTATGTAAGACCGTATGGTACGTTTACTTCTTTAGGACATTTTGATGTTTAATACGGTTAAGAGATTTGGTATATATATATATATTATTTATTTAAAATTACCCGAGGTTACCGTCCTTGCTTATTTCTTTGATTCTGAAAAAAAACGCTGTAACAACGAAAACGTAAAGCACAAAAAAAAAAAATAAGTTACAGTCCTATACTGTATTAGTAACGTAAAAAAAAATTGTTACTTGTAGTTATTGCTGTATTGTAATCAGGGCAGCGCCAGAGTATTTGGCACCCTAGGCGAACCTGTTGGACTGCGCCCCCCACGCCCACGGCAACAATTATTTAATTAATAATGCCGCCCCCTAAAAATTTGCCGCCCTAGGTGCCCGCCTAGTTCGCCTAATAGTTAAACCGGGCCTGAGTATAATGTTGTAGTATCTGATTATCCATTTTGAAAAACGTCCATGATTTCTTAAAAGCGCGAGGCTAGAACTTCTTGAAATTAGCATCACACACGTTTATTAACTGAATGTATATTATACATACGGCAAGAAATAACACCTCTAGCAAATAGAGCAAATGTAGTTGTCATATAACTTCTTCCACTGAAATCTTTCAACATTAGTCGTTGTTTGATATAAAAGAGCCAATAGTAAAATACACAGACTGCCATTTAAAAATCATACATTTCTTCTCAGCCCATGACATACAATACAATTCACTTTCTGTTCATCATAACTTACAAAAATAATACCTTATCTGAAACAACAATTTTGTCTGCATATTTGATCTGTGAGACATACAAATTAAACATTTTCTTCCTAGAAAACCCACATTGATAATTGTGTAAAAATCGACTTGGACCATTGACTATCTAGTTAGGGGTTGAGAATGATTTACGTTGAGCTCGTAAGTGGCCTGCTTGTTCGATCCGTTAAATATAAAGAGAGCCTGAATGTCACCACTGGACTTGGTATGATGGGTTTTGGATCACTGATGACTTTCGCGGGTGAATTAGTTTAAAGTTAAACAGAGTTGAGCAGCGTCAACCTCGCTCTCAAAGTCCGGACACGCGGTGTCCAGTGACAAGACTAAGTCAAGAATGTCAGACAGGTACGGATGAAGTGAATGACCAAGATGTTCTAGGTGCCTCATCATCTCTACACACTCCACCGTGCGTTGCTGTAATTGCGTTCTCCTCCGTTAAACTAATTGGTCCTCTCTGCAGGATCTGTCGACGTTCAGACTTCGCTTTCAGTGAGCAGGCTGTTCTAAATCACTGAGGTTTTAAAGCCCATCAGCTACCTTCACCTACTTTACGCGGCTAGTGGATGCCGTTGCCCATTGTATGGCAGCTGTTACATGCTAATAGCTGCAGGGAAGATTAATAAGTACACCTCTAAAGAATGTAATAAGCGGCGACGCCACTTCCAGGTAAAAATTAAACTGTTTTCAACTATGATTTAAAGAGCAAGCTAATTTTTTTTTATTAAATATGTTTTATTAAAAAAAAATAATAATAAAACAAGCAATTGCCATTTATCCGCTACAACAATATGATCAAAGCAGGAACTAATTAAAAAAGAACAATCCCTAAGATAGTGGAGGGATCTATAAAAATCATTTAAATAAATATTAAAATTAAATTTAGAACAAAGTGTGCTTTGGTACACTACTATTTGACTAGAATGCACCTGTCGATTCGGCTCTAAAAAATAACCTCCATGAGAGAATATGTTCGTGTAAACTACATATTATTGCAGCAAAAACTTAAATTACAACTTGAAACTCTACAAGCTTTTCTTAAAGACAGTGTTTCCACTTGAAGTAGACACATTTTAGTTTCAGGACTAGATGGTATCGTGACTAAAATAATTCGAAATAATATAAATTTAAGAATTATAGTAGTTTAATTATATGCTTCAGTTTTAGTGTACAATTTGCATCAATTATATTTTATTGTTCCAACTGTTTAATTTATACAGTAATAGATTTAGATTGTGTTTTCCTTGTAAAATTCTAACATTAGGTAAGGATATAATTGTCGACAAGGAAACTCCTTAAAGTATTGTTATTCTGAATCTTTTGTTGTTGCTTTAATTAAAGTACAATATATACATAGGATATGATTAACTAATTTAAAGCTGTTTCTAACTGAGATAAAGAATGTATGCTTATTGAAACGAAAAAAAAAAAGAATAAAAAAAGTATATAAACTATGCCTTTATTGTCAAATAAAATACATAGTTTAAACTTATTCCCGTTTTCGTGCAACAAAATAACACAAATTATTATTGTAAATTACAGTTTAAATCGCATATACATTTTATAGCTAATTTTTTTTCCTGTTCGGTTTTATAGTGTATTACCCTCAAACATTTTCCATTTGTGAATGAGGAAATTATAGCGCAAAAAATATCAATAAACCATCGATACAAATCGAAAGATCATCGAAATGATGACATGGCGTGATGAAAATGACCATATTTCTGATACAATAACCTCAGCGTGCCCGAGCGTTTTTTTATTCATATATGCAGCCGATTTCTTTTATGGACAAATTCCATCAGTAATGTCACTTAAAATTCTTCTCTCCAAAGTAATTCCCCAATACAATGTATTCAGTTTACTCAATAGCCAACCACACGTCTAAATATGCATAGCATTTACTTTGTGTTCTTCAAATCAAGCGTTTGCTAATTTTCTGTGCTGCAATTTAAAAAAATAGCATTTGTGCCTCATGTTTGTCATTTGTTTTTTCACTGACCAAATTTTTTGACGTTGTAGCCTTTTTTGTTCATCTCTGGTGACTGTTACAAAAAGACAACCTTTGATTTAAAGTTTAAAGTATCCTTTCATATACGACTTTTATTTTAACATTATTCTTTGCGCTCTTAACTTAGGGAATGCTCATTAGAAATATGGATTTATTCATTAAAACACTTTTCCAGATCAAATTTCTTCCCACACAGACATAAAATTAAAAATGGATGCTATCATGCTGAGCCCCGAAAACTGTAATCACAAGTCTTATCTTGTTTTATATTTCATACTGTACTAAATTAGACGTTAATGGAATGGATCTGATGCTTCCAATGGAAGTTACCAGTTTTATTGCACAGACACATATTATACTGCTTATACTTGTAATCTGATGTCGAGGAAAATAAGAGATGGATTTTTAGAATGTTTCATACGTATATCCCTTTATACAGTTGAAATAAAAAAAAAACATTGGACTTAAATGTTTATCCACATATAAAAAAAAATACATTTTCTGTATTTATATTTATAATTAGCGAGAACCCGGCATGCGTTGCAATGCCTCTCAAAGAAAGAAAGTGTTTGCATTTTAATAATGTCTCTTAAAGAGCTTTTAAATACATAAAGTTGTTCTTTTTTTCCATCTGGTACATACACGAATAAATCAGATGTTTTTTTTCCGACGCGAGAGCAGGCCACATACATCTGTCAATGGGAGAAGCATGGGTTTTACAAATTTAGTACGCAAACTTGTAGCGATTGTCCCTGTGCTTTGTAGATAGTCATTGCAAACGCGTGTCGCACCGTAAAATGCAGACGTTTGAGTTCAAATGGCATCATTGGGATGCGTGACAACTGTACATCAGTTCCTTTAAATTTTCCTTTTAAAATAGTAGCTTAAGCTTCAATGATATTTTTCATTATGTTTTTCATTGAAACTTGTTACCGTTGTAAAGTCGTGGCTGATTTTTGTTTTATTAAAGAATGATAGTAACGCCACTTTTCAATGTTAAAATGTGCGATGGAATGCCTTGCAAGTCAAGTGATTGGATAATTGACAACTTCGTCTTAATTCAATACAGTATCGATGGACTTAACGTTGTCCTTTCGCCTGGGATTTCATTTTGAATGCTTAATTGGATTACATTGTAATTGTTGTTTTTGGCTGAAAATATAGCACGTGCACTGAGCCACTGATGATTTTTGTAATACTGTGCGATATTTCGAAAAACTGTATGTGTGAATTCGTCGGTGGTAGCTGTAGTTTTACAGAAGCTTGTTGGCAGTGAAAAACATTGATGGGATTCATCAATTGCTATTTTCCCTTTACCAATGTCCAACAATTGTTTTGCGAAACGTTCAGTGGATGCATCATCATGTAATTCTCCACGCATAATGGACTTCAAAGTCAATTTCTGTACACGCCGCAATAAAACTGATGATTTGAGACATGCATTTAATTCATCAGCAGCTGTTAAGGCCACCATCCAAAAGTGTTGCTTTAATTCCAGATGATGCAATAGCCAGTGCAAAATTTATTTGTGATCGTATTATTGCCAAAATGAGTGAAATTATAAAAGATTTTCCTGTGCCTCCGGGCGCAGCTAGGAAATATTGTCCACCGATTTGATTGGTAATTGCATGCATAATTCTGTAATACAATATGAGTTGTTCTGGAACCAATTTCGGAAGTTTCCTCCAAACAAATATACCCAATAATTGGATATGAAAATGCGATTCTCATTTAAAATCACGATTGAAAAGCTTGTTTGCAGATCGATTCGGACAAGTCATTCCTAACACTACCAGTGCTTTGTTAGAGATTGTCCACAATCGAAACCAATGCCTCATTATACACTTTTGGTGTAAATTTAATCTCCGGATTTTGATTCGTTGCACGCAAACGATGTAGGATATCTTCACTTCGGTATTCTTTGTATTTCTCCCAAACAACTTTTGGATTGGATGGGAAGCAAGTTGTCATTGTGATTGCAAACAAAGTGCAAACGTTTATGAAAGCTCCTGTGCAGAATGTAATTCTGACATTTTAACTTTCCCACCTGCACATTAAATTCCCGGTGTTTCATTCTTAAAGTTTAGGGCACTGAAATACACGCATAATTGATCAATTTACACAATAACCACACTTGGATAAAGACTGTAATCATAATTAGCATGCTAATGGAATGCACTAATATTAATTCAGTGTGCAGTTCTCATCTACATCGAGCAGTGCGTACTCTAAGTGAGTCCAGACTTGTTTCTCGCTGCTCGACTGTTTTAGACAAATAGGTTTCAGCATTGCTCACTCGTATTGTTTTGATTCTTAATTCCCGTTGCTCGAATGTATCATATGAACGGGTTTGAGCATTGGGTACTCAAGTGGTTTCTAGTCTTGCTTCACGATTTTTCCTTTCATGATTGAGATGTAGAAAGACCAAAAGCGCTTCCTTTAGGTGGCATTATTGATTTGACAGCGAATGTATTTCTTTGTGACGAATATAAAAAAATGCATGTGCTATGTAGTACTATCGAGTACCCACCATGCGCTGCAAATCCTCTCAAAGAAAGAAAATGTTTACATTTAATTATGTTTATTGTAGAGCTTTTAAATCGGTCCCATGCATACACGAATAAATCAGAAGATTTTTCGACGCGAGAGCAGGCCACATATAGCTGTCCATGGGAGAAGCATGGGTTTTCCAAATTTAGTCCGCAAACTTGTAGCAATTGTCCCTGTGCTTTTTTGATGGTCATTGCAAATGCGAGTCGCACCGGAAACTGCACACGTTTGAATTCCAATGGCATATCTGTTAGAATCATTGGGATGCGTGGCAAAAGTACATCTGCTCCTTTAAATTCTCCATATAAAATAGTAGCTTCAATGATATTGCTAATCATGATTTTCACTGATAGTTTGGTACCGTTGCAAAGTCTTGGGGGATTAATATTTCGTAAAAGTATGATAGGTACGCCAATTTTCAGTGTTAAAATGTGCGACGGAATGCCTGGAAAGTCAAGTGAATTCAAGAATTCTGTTGGATAATTGACAACTTCGTCTTGATTCAATACAGTGTCAAGGGAGTTATACGTTGTTATTTAACCTGGGATTTCATTTTGAATTCTTAAGTTAATGGCATTGACATCGTTGTTGTTGGCTGCTAATACAGCACGTGCACTGAGCCATTGATCATTTTGGTAATTTTGTACGATATTTGAAAAAACTTTTTGTATCAATTCGTCAATGTTGGCTGTAATTTTACAGAAGCTTGTTGGCAATGTGATACATTTTGTTGATTCATCTATTGCCATTTTCCCATTCCCAATGTCCAACAATTGTTTTGCAAGACGTTCAGCAGATTCATCATTGTGTAGTTTTTTTCGCATATTTGTTTTCAAAGTTAATCTCTGTACATGTTGCCATAATACTGATGATTTGAGACATGCATTTAATTCATCAGCCACTTTTGAACGTGGTATAACGGGTAAAGTTTATCGAAAATCTGCAGATAATAAAAAAAGTGCGCCACCGAAGAGCTGTTCGTTTCATCTCAAACCTTTTAGTGTACGATGAAGCGCTTCCAATGCTTTTTTGTGTGCCATAGTACATTCGTCTCATATAACGATTTGACACGATTGGAGTAATTTAGCCATTCCGGAAAATTTATTTTTATTGCATGTTGGTGTCTCAGTTATTTGCATATTCAACGGCAATTTCTGTGCTGAATGGACTGTCCGGCCACCATCCAAACGAGTTGCTGCAGTTCCAAATGATGCGATAGCCAGTGCAATATTTTTTGTGATGTTATTGTCACCAAAATAAGTGAAATTAGGACAGGAAATTAGGAAATATAGTCCACCAATTTGTCAGGTAATTGCATGCATAATTATTTCATACACTATGAGTTGTTCTGGAGGCTATTTAGAAAGATTCATCTGAACAAATGTACTTAATTATCCGATGTCAAAGTGCGTTTTTCGATGTAAATCACGATTGCATAGCTTGGATTAGCAGAAGTCATTCCCAATTCTACCAGGGCTTTGTTAGAGATTGCAAAACATATGTCCTCAATCGAAACCAATGACTGGTTATACACGTCTGGTGTAAATTTAATGTCCGGATTTTGATTCGTTGCAAGCAAATGATGTAGGATGTCTTCACTCATGTCGTCTTTGTATTTCTCCCAGAGATCTTTTGGATTGGATGGGAAGCAGGATGTCAATATGATTGCAAACAAAGTGCGTATTTGCAGTGGTTGAGCAATATTCGATGCATCAGATAGCGAAGTATCCCAATGAGCATCGTTATCCAAAAGTTTTAATTCTTTGAAAGCTTCACAATAAGTGGCAAGTAATTGACCGTTTACTGTTCTCAGTTCTTGGAAGGATGTTGGTCCACGTATTTTGATTAACAGTAATCGCAAGTAAAAGTAGTCTGCATTGTTTGAGTGAAAAGTTTACAGACGGCCTAATGCGTCCACTTAATATAAATTGGCTGTTCTTCAAATGCTTTACCCTGTTTGCTACGTATAAAACTTTTCGCTGATATATTCCTTGTGTAATATCTTGGCACTTCAGAGTAAAGTAGCGTCTTTGCAAAAATATCATTCCGGCACAATGAGGAAAATGCAGTTCACGTTGTGGACGGAGGTGACACTGCTCTTACACGTGTATTTTCTGTTGTGAAGTACACTCACTGTCCGTTTTTAAGGTGCACTGCCAAATGAACAACTGTTGGATGGCGTTCATGGATTGGAAATGATAAAATGCGCCATACTGCTTCATTGCTTTTAATGTAGCCTCCAAGTTGATATTTGTAGACTTCATCGATTGATCCAGATTTTTTCCACTCCAAAACTTGCCATATCGCTTCATTAGTGAACATATTTGCAAATGTACTTGATCGATTTCACTGAATTGCAATACTCTACGTTGATGTGTGCTTCGAACGTTTTCGAGATTAAAGGTGAATACGATACAACCCAACGATTATCGACTTCGACATCATTGTTTCGTACTTTAAAGTAATTGATTTGAAACCATCTTCAGTTGATCGATACATTGGATAGTCATCATTGCCAGGGATTGTCTCAGCAATTAAATCTCTTGGGTATCGTTTTTCATTTCCCATCAAAAATGTATGGTGAATTTTTGTTGAGTAATCCACATGGACCATGAATCATGTTTTTGTTGACGATTTCTAATAAGTATTGATCAGTGTTGGCATCTGGTATTTCTGTAAAAATGACTTTATCAATTAGATCTTGTTTGACTTTTTCGATCAACCAAATTAAAATATTTGCGTGTGGCAATCCTCTCTTTTGACATTTAACGGAAAACATCCAACAGCGTGCCTGTCCAAAAACATGATACTTGTCCATAAAATCAATCAAAGATTTCAATTTTTATTTGAACATATCGTGACGATCTGATGCTGATTGTCCAATTAACAAAAGTTCTGGTATTTCCACACAGGTTAAGTTGCACGTAAAGTAATAACAAAATCTGAGCGGCCATATACGCGAACCTAATTCATTGCAATTTGTGCGTATTCATGTATGTGACGTGGACTTCCAGAAAATGTCGCAGGTAGCATTGTCCCCAAATCCATTGGATTCACATTGCAATCATTCACAATTGCATCACGTGAATGAATGTACTCTTCGGAACGTAACTTGCTTTGATTAAATCGAATGTTGAGAACTCGTTCGTCTCGATTTTTGCATACATATCAAAAATGTATTGATGGAATAATTGTCCACATTTCAAGATATCATTGTCGGCACTATCACGGATCATCAATCCATATGAACAGTATTTCATGGTACTGATTTTCTTATTCGATTCGTAATATGTCTGTGGATTTCTCAATTGTATGTTAAAATAATATACATCTTCTCCTTGCCAAAATAAAATAGGAATTGCAATCCATCGTATGAGCGATGAGTTTCTGAGACTCGCTGAACATCGCCACTTCTGCGATGAAGAATTATATTAACTTAGTTAAATTCTTCGCCAACTATAACGATCGCCACTTCATCAAATGTTGGTGCATTGTATTGTCTTTCGTATTGGCCGACAGGCTCTATGACCTTGTAGTCATCAGGCGGCATCTTTTTAAGTGCAATTCTAAACATTTGAATTAATTCGGCTTATTACAAAAATAACGTTTGCAATGCAGAAACGATTTCTCTTTTAGTGCCGTATTGATTTGACAACTTTGATCGATTTGTTCATTAGTATTCCACATGAAAAAAATGTGCATACATTTGTGATCTGTGTTTGGCATTGGCATCAGAGATCCTGCACGATGATAAATTTGGCATTGCACTTTAAATATTGGCATGTAATTCTCAAACACGATGTTTGTTGCACCGAACGATGTCATTTCGAAACATGAATTGTACTTGCGTATTTTTGCCAATAAATGTTTCGATTGGCTTGTTTTACCTGATACTAACATTGATAATGGTTCCGGTGGTAAATGTAATTCTGGCAATTTCACTTTCCATCACGCGCATCAAATTCCCAGTGTTTCATTCTTAAACTTGAGGGCACTGCAATACAACAATAATTGATCAATTTTGTTCCATTAACCACACTTGGATGAAGACTGTAATCATAATTAGCATCGTAATGGAATGCATTAAGATTTAATTGAGCGTGCAGTGTTTGTCTGGATTGAGTAGTGCGTACTCTATGGGAATCCAGTTTGTTTCTCGTTGCTTGTTTAAGACAAACGGGTTTGAGGAATGCGTATTCGAGAGGTTTCTTGTCTTGCTTATCTTTGCTTGACTGTTTAAGGAGAACTTGTTTGAGCATTGTGTACTGGAGCAGTTTCAAATCTATTTTCTTGTTGCTTGAATGTTTCCGAAGTACGTTGGGATTTGTCTTTCGTGCTTGAGGTGTAGAAAAACCAATAGATTTTCGTTTGTGTGGCATTATTGATTTGACATCGAAATTTGTTGCTCTGTGGCGAATATTATAAATGCATGTGAGATCTATTCTTAGCAGTGGTTTTTCACAATTAACACAACTTGTTAGGTCATACACAAAATGATATGTCGCTGTTTGTATTTGATACAATTAACTTACAATATTGCTAACTTTAATCATTTTCACACGTTAGGCTCTTCAATCTCATTACACGAAAAACCTCACACACTAGGTACGTTCATTGTTGGCAGGAGAGTTTCAGTTGTATAGCTTCATATTCAATTACATAAATAATAAATTCCAGCGTTAAAATCACGATATTACCATAGTTCATTTCCTACGTTGTCAAGTGTGTTATTTAATTACTTAAGAAAACATAGATTCATGTAAAATGTCTTTACATAACACAAAACAATTACGAAATTATAAGACTCTTTTCAAAAAATACTTTGAATTAAAAAAAAAAAAACAACAACATGTGTTCAATGCCATATCCGATTCTAAAATGCATTACAAAATTCAAGCTGATTTATAAAATTTAAAAAAAAATACTCTCTACAAAAAAAATGAAAAACGTGTTTTCTCTGCTTTACTACAAATGTGTAATTTGTTCAAGGACGGTAGGGTTGATAGATCCATTTTAAATTATATTGATGAAGCTCATTTAAGAAAACGCAACATTTCACCAACGTTAAATCAGAATGGCTCATTTAAATAAAACGAAAAAGAATATTGTAAAATGGTTGTACTAAGTTTGAAAAATTTTGGAGTCGATTCATCTCCATCCAACATGCACTAGCTCTGCTTGAAATTATAGTTATAAAACTCTTAGAAGAGAAAACGAAATTATGGTCACGGCCCAAACAGAATAATGTAAAAGGTTGGTATAGTTTAGGAACGTTTGCGGTAGTGCGCATTTCAAATGATTACGTTGTATCACAATCAGATGAATGGTTTAAAAAAGCATACGATAATTATATAGTTAATAAAATAGTGTAAAATGAATTTTGGGTTTCCGGCCACAAACGGAATATATTAGAATTGTTTTATTACTTGAGAAACCTACTTAATATGTCACACACACAATTTAATGTCACTATTTGTAATTTACTAAAAAGCTATCCATCCGTGCATTAACTCAGTTTTATCGCAATCGCTTGAATGGTGTAGGAGCGCATACCGTTTGAAATTATATGAATATAGCTCATGTTAGAAAAAACGAACATAGGGCCCCTGGCTCAAACTTGATTTTTTTTAAAACGGTTGTAATAATTGAAGAACCTTTGTAGGCGATTGCACAACATCTCGCTAAAGTTTTATCACATTCTGAAAAATGGTATAGGAGCGCTTATGGAAATTATTTTTTTCAAAGCTCATATAAGTAAAAGTATTAATTAGGGTCCAATGGATGAAAACGGACAATTTTAAAAGTGTTGTAATGAAATAGTAAAATGCACAGGCTTATTGATAACAACTCTCCAAAGTTATGTCGCAATAGCATTAATGGTGTAGGAGCGCATACGGTTTGAAAATATGTGTATATAGTTTATATGCAAAAAAATGAACATTTAGGGCCCCTGGCTCAAAACAGATTATTTTAAACGGTTCTAAAAATGGTTCTAAATATACGGTCAGACGATACAATTTAGTCATTTCAGACTAGACACTTAGACAATCTATCTATCTATCTATCTATCTATCTATCTATCTATCTATCTATCTATCTATCTATCTATCTATCTATCTATCTATCTATCTATCTATCTATCTATCTATCTATCTATCTATCTATCTATCTATCATCTATGAAGATCTTAAACCATTTCTATTTTAAATGAAATATTCCCGTGTGTTAAATGACTGGGTTGTGATATTCATTTGTATAATTGTGTAAATGTACCTTTGTTTTTTTAGCGGCATTGATTTTCTTAATTGGTAAAATGAGAATACAGCATCTCTTTTTCACAACTGTATTATCACTGGATAATTGTATAATTGTACACACCCCATGTCCTAACTCCATTACATATGTGCCTAATAAGTTTAAAAGTATTTATCAAATTTTTTCGGAGGCGCATCATATGCTGCCTTGGGCAAATGAAACTATCATATTACTTCCCCCACCCTCACACCCCACCCCCCCCCCCCAAAAAAAAAAATAGTATTAAGAAAATTAATATAATCATCTACGGTATTTTAACCCCTTATTTAGGCAAAAGCAATTCGTTTTGCATTTAATACGCTTTGTCCATATTTTAATGAGTGATAACTGCATTAGTGAATGCAATTTGGATATATAGTTTCACTGCACTGATTGCATTTGACGGCATTTTCGTATTAAAAGTATATTTAAAGTGTTAATTTTTACTCCTGTGTAAATTTCATAAAAGTATGTTTTTGGAAAGAATAAACGTAAAAAATTATTAAATGTTAAAAATACAAAGCTAAAGTTGCATTTAATTTTAAAAATTTTAGCAAAGTTTTCTATTATATGTATTCATTTTACTTTCAAGACGGGAAAATACATCATAAGTTTTTTCACACACGGTAACAAAATATATTCAAAAAACTTAGAGCTGTGGCTAAAATAGGCGATCATGCTTTTACGTCATTTGCGTAATTATTTAGATCAAATTATTTTTTTATTTTTATTTCGCAAAATTAAATACGCAAAAAAATACGCACTAAGAAAAACAGATGTGTTGGGTTTTCCCGATAAATGTGATTAAGATGCAATTCTTATATTATAATATTTGATTTAAACATTTTTTCATAACTTTTACATTCGGATAAAATGCTTATAATAGTTCCTTAGATGTTACTTTAAATTTATTTGTAATTTATAATAATACAACTTAAAAATTTTGCTAAAATAAAAGCGGATTTAAAATATTTTTTGCGCATTAAAATTTATTCGATTTCCGTAAATTAATAGAAAATAACTATAATTGTTTTTTTGGAATCCGAACGTGCTTAAAAAGTTCTCCCTTTTGGCGTTATGGGAACCTAGCTCATTTGTGTATATATAAGACATTTTGTGTTTACAACTTTCGGAACATTTCGTAAATGATATATGCAAACTTTTAGACAATGACGATAACATACCAAAAACTCGTTATAGATGTAGAAAAAGGTAACTATGCGTTTCTTTAAATTAAAGTCACAAATGTATCTTTACATATTTTTGTTAAATACTTTTTTTTAAAAATAGAACTAATGTGTATAAAAAGTAGGTACAATAATTGAAAGTTAACACTTTCCCCCAAACTACTGTCTTTTGTTTTGTATCTAAATGTGGGAATTAATTTTAAATTTAAACCTTAATTTAGCAATATTGATGAAAAAATTTTGTTATGTTGAACACTAACCTGCTGTGATAATTATAAATTAAGTTTTGCATTATAAAATAATTATTTTAGGGGATGGGGCGCTGAATAGTGTAACTATTCGAGGCAAACGGGAGCCAAAACCGATAATACTTATTCAAATCTGGGATACAAATTGAACTAGAATATGTTAGTACTGATACAAAAATTACGAACATTTTAATAATTTTTTTCTTATTCATTTTGAATCTCTAGTTATCTTACAAGAATAAGAATACACATGCCTTGTTTGCAAAGTGTGCTACTTATGCTTTTAGCATATTATGGTGAGTACAATTATTTTGTTTTACTATTTCATCTGGTAAAACAGCATTTATTTATATATAAATATATTCCATTTTGAGCTCTTTATAAATCGAATGTGTACATAAAGCGATTGTGGATTTCCTCCCTAAATTTCAATCTATCTTTTTCTAGTTAATATTTTTCATAGAACATGTATCAAAAATGATTAACTTGATGTTGGGACTAAAACCACATTTTACCTTTTAGATTATACCATTAGACGTTTTCTTATTTGACATTAAAATTTAATAGCTATCAAAGATTGTTTTGAAAGTAATTATATGAAATGAAAAAAATTAAAATTCTTAAACTGTATAAATCCAATTCATTATTACTCAAGACACTGTCGTATACACTTCTATGGGCAAATTGTTTCTTTAGTAACGTTAAGGGTTGTAATATATATATATATATATATATATATAAACATTGAAATGAAACATTTTTTACAACTGTGTTATTTTAAATGTTCAAGTCGGAAAGAAAATGTCTACAATTTTTCAAATTATATTAACAAAACATTTGAAATTGGAAATAAGAATTTGGCTTAACATAAAAATAATAAGAACATAATGTATTATTTTTCATGAAACGTGCAATTTGGATGTTTCTTTATTTCATATAATATTGATACAAACGAAATCTTATGAAAACTTTTACACAGCTATTGCGAAAAACTTCTCTGGGATCAGCTACAGTTTAGCGTGTATCCCGTATTTTATTATGCAGTTTTTTCTTTTTATTTTGAAAATACTTTAATATTACTTGTGATATCCCAGGCTGTCTTTCAAATTACTAGTTATTTTGTGCACAAAAAAAAAAAATAGTTGAGCTCTTTTCTTTTTGAGAAATAAGCTAATCGTGTAAAAACATTATATTGCAAAACAAATTAAATTTGTTGTTGTAACTGTGCATTCTTGCCTTACAGTAATGTTAAAGAAACCCTGAGCAGTTAACAGTTTACGCCTATTTCTTCTTCAGTGCAACAAAATAACGATTCCATTCAAGTTTACATCATACATTTATTTTATAATGGGTTTCCCCCTGCTTGTCTTGATATTATACTTCCAACCCCCAGACCCTCCAAAAAAAATAATAATAAAAAATAAAACAATGTTCTCTTTTCACATTATGTAATTATAGCTCCGTTTTATCAACGTATACTAGATATAAATCAAAAGAAAATCAAAATTATTACAAGCAGTGATGAAATGTATTGAATTTCTGATACTCGAATATCACAAACACGAGAGATGTTTATATATTTATTAGCCAACTAGCGAGTACCCGCTTTCCTTGCAATGCAAATCGAACAAAGAAATTAGTTTCATTTTAATTATGTTTCTTATAGAGCTTTTAAATACACATTTTTTTATTTTTGTTTCCGTCTAGTGCATACACAAATCAATCAAAAGGTTTTCCAAAGTGAGAGCAGGATACATATAGCTATCCATGGAAGAAGCATGGGTTTTCCAAATTTAGTCTGCAAACCTGCAGCTATTGTCCCTGTGCGTTATAGAAAGTCATTGCAAACGCGGGTCGCACAGGAAAGCGCAGACGCTTGAAATCCAATGGAATATCTGTTGGAATCATTGGGATGCCTGGCAAAACTATATCTTCTCCTTTAATTTTACATTTAAAAAGTAGATTTGATGGTATTTTTTTATCATATTTTCCCCGGAAACTTTTTAACGTTGTAAAATCGTGGTGGATTTATGTTTCGTTAAAGAATAATAGACACGCCAATTTTCAGTGTTAAAACTTGCGATGAAATGCCTAGCAAATCAAGTGAGTGGATAATTAACAACTTCTTCTTAATTCAATACAGTATCGATGGACTTATGCGTTGTCCATTTTTTGACTGGGATTTCATTTTTAATGCTTAATGTGATGGCATTGACATGGCTTTATTTTTGCTGCTGATATAGCACGTGCAGTGCGCCACTGATGATTTTTGTATTATTGTACGATTTTTGGAAAAACTTTTTAAATCAATTCGTTAATGTTTGCTTTGATTTTGCAGAAGCGTTTTGGTTACATTTTGTTGATTCATAAAATGCCATTTTCCCTTTCCCAATGTTCAACAATTGTTTTGCAAAGAGTTCAGCGGATGATTCATTATGCAGTTGTACACGCATAGTGGTCTTCAAAGTCAATTTCTGTAAATGTCACCATAAACTGATGATTTGAGACATGCATTTAATTTATTCAGCAGCTGTTGAGGCGACAATCCAAAAGAGTTGCTGCAATTCCAGATGATCTGATAGCCAGAGCAATATTTTTTTTTCAAATTACGAAAGTTTTTCCTGTGCCTCCAGGCGGATCTAGGAAATATAGTCCAACACTTTGTCTGGTAATTGCATGCATAATTCTATAATACAATATGAGTTGTTCTGGGGCCAAATTCGGAAGATTCATCTAAACAAATATACCTAATTCTTCGATGTCAAAAAGCGTTTCTCGTTGCAAATCAGGATTAAAAAGCTTGTTGGCAGATCGATTAGCAGAACTCATTCCCAATTCTACCAGTACTTTGTTAGAGATTGCCAAACACATGTCCTCAATTTAAACCGATGCCTCGTTATACACGTCTGGTGTAAATTTAATGTCCGGATTTTGATTCGTTGCAAGCAAATGATGTAGGATGTCTTCACTCATGACGTCTTTGTATTTCTCACAAAGATCTTTTGGATTGGATGTGTTATCAAGTTGTCAATATGATTGCAAACAAAGTACGTATTTGCTGGGGTTGAGCAATATTCGATGCATCAGATAGCGAAGTATCCCAATGAGCATCGTTATCCAAAAGTTTTAATTCTTTGCAAGCTTTTTGATAAGTGGCACATACTTGACCGTTTAATGTTCTCAGTTCTTGGAAGGATTTTGGTCACCGTACGTTGATTAACAGTAATCGCAAGTAAAAGCATTCTGCATTGTTTGAGTGAGAAGTGTACAGACGGCCTAATGCGTCAGCCGAATATAAATTGGTTGTCGTTCAAATGCTTTACCCTGTTTGTGACTTAGAAAACTTTTTGCTCTTGCATTCCATGTGTAATATGTTGGCACTTCAGAGTAAAGTAGCGTCTTTTCAAAAATATCATTCCGGCAAATGAGAAAAATGCAGGTAACGTTGTTAACGGAGGTGACACTGCTCTTACACGTGCATTTTCTGTTGTAAAGTACACTCGCTGTCCGTTTTCAAGGTGCTTTGCCAAATGAACAACTGTTGGATGGCGTTCATGGATGGAAATGATAAAATGCGCCATACTGCTTCATTGCTATTAATGTAGCCTCCAAGTTGATATTGGTAGACTTAATCGAATGATCCAGATTTTTTTCCACTCCAAAACCTGCCATATCGCTTCGTTAGTGAACATATTTGCAAATGTGCTTGATCGATTTCACCGAATTGCAATACTCTACATTGATGTGTGCTTCGAAAGTTTTCGAGATTAACGGTGAATACGTTACAACCCAATGATTATCCACTTCGACATTATTGTTTCGTACTTTTAAAGTAATTGATTTGCCACCATCTTCAGTTGATCGTCGACAATACATTGGATAGCCATTATTGCCAGTGATAGTCTCAGCACTTAAATCTCTTGGGTCTCGTTTTGTGCAGTTCCCATGAGACATGTATGGTGAATTTTTTTTGATTAATCCACATGGACCGGGAATCATGTTTTTGGTGACGATTTCTAATAAGTATTGATCAATGTTGGCATCTGCTATTTCTGCAGAAATGACTTTATCATTTTGATCTGTTTTGACTTTTTTGATCAACCAAATTAAAATGTGTGCATGTGGCAATCCTCTATTTGCCATTTAACCGAATACTTCCAACAGCGTGCATCTCCAAAAACATGATACTTGACAATAAAATATATCAAAGATTTGAATTTTTGTTTGAACACACACGCACTAATAACGTGACGAACTGATGCTGATTGTCCCGTTAAGGAAAGTTCTTGTATTTCCCCCCACGTAGGGTTATACGTAAATAAAATAAAAAACTTTGGTGGCAATATACGCGAACATGTGTCATTGCATCTTATCCGTATTAATGCATGTGACGTCGACTTCCAGTAAATGTCGCTGGTTGTACAACCATTTTCCCCAATTCATTTGGATTCACATTGCAATCATTCACAATTCCATCACGTAAATGAATGTACTCTTCGGAACGTAACTTGCTTTGATTTAATCGAATGTAGAGGTGTCGTTCGGTTTAGATTTTCGCAAACATATCAAAAAGGTATTGATGGAAAAATTGTCGACATTTCAAGATATGATTTTCGGCATTCTCACGGATCATCAATCGATGTGAATAGTATTTCATGGAACTGAACTTCTTATTCGATTCCTTATATGTCTGTTGATTTCTCGATTGTATGTTAAAATTATATCCATCTTCTCCTTGCCAAAATAAAATAGGATATTGCAATCTATCGTATGAGCGATGAGTTTCTGAGACTCGCTGAACATGGCATTTCTGCAATGAAGAATCATATCATGTGAGTTAAATTCTTCGCCAACAATAACTATCGCCACTTCATCAATTGTTTGTTCATTGTTTTGTCTTTCGTGTTTGCTGACAGTTTTTTGTCTGCTCTAGCTATTACTTTGTAGTCATCAGTCGGCATCTTTTCAAGTGCAATTCTAAACATTTGAATTAATTCGTTGTGTTGAAAAGTTAACGTTTGCAATTCAGCAACGATTTGTCGTTTATTTTTTTATTTATTTATTTAGGCATTTTTATATAGCGCTTATCATAAAGCTCTAAGCGCTTTACAATTATTAAAACATGTAAAATAAGTAAATACAAATGAGACACTAGGGTAGTAACTACTATTCTATAGAAACAATGAAAATGGCTATAAAAAGATGACACTTTGACACTTAGGGATTAAACCGAAACAGAAAATTAGGTATGGCAAGGAGGGTGCATCACAGGTCATAGGCGGACCTAAACAGATGAGTTTTAAGGGACTTTTTGAAAATGGACGAGGTTTCACTATGACGTATATGGAAGGGGAGCTGGTTCCAGAACGTGGGCCCATGGAAGCAGAAGGAGCGTTCACCGATGGTCTTAGTTTTAGTTCTTGGGATTGAGAGGGTTCTACTGTCAATGGAAGAACGTAGTTGTCTTGTGGGGATGTAAGGAAGCAACAGTTCAGAGAGATAGACAGGAAAGTGAGGGTCAGTGAACGAGTTGAAGCAAAGATTGGCAGACTTGTATTTGATGCGAGAGGATATTGGAAGCCAGTGGAGTTGCCGCATGTGTGGTTGAATGTGGTCATGTTTCTTTGATTTAAAAATGAGTCTGCATGCTGAGTTCTGTGCCTTCTGAAGTTTTTCTATGTGGTGTTGAGGAATGCCTGAGAGAAGAATGTTACAGTAGTCAAATTTTGAAAGAATGAGTGAAGAGACCAGAGTTTTTGTGGCATCAAATGAGAGGAGGTGTCTAATGGTGCTGATTTTTCTAATTTCGTTATATGCTGATCTGCATATATTCGTGACATGTTTGTCCATAGAGGGGGTGTCCATAAGCGTCACTCCAAGGTTTCTGGCAGAGGGAGAGAGTGTGATGTCAGAGTTGCCAATAGATATAGAAGAAGGAGCGAATAGAGGGAGACGTTTGTTTTGAGAGTGGATGAGAAGGATTTCCGTTTTATCATCATTTAGCTTCAGTTTGTTGCAAGTCATCCAACGCTTTACATCGTCCACGCACTCCTGTATGCGAAGAATTGTGGCATCAAGTTGATCAGGAAAGCAAGAGTCACTGATTTGAGTGTCATCAGCAAAGGATTGACTGGAAACTGAGTGGTGGCTAATGAGAGATGATAGAGGTTTAGTGTAGAGGATGAAAAGGACCGGCCCAAGGACCAATCCTTGAGGAACTCCAATAGACAGGGCTGAAGGTTTGGAAGAGCTTAGTGCTTGTATCGATATTACAACGTTGATCAATTGTTTCATCAGTATTCCCTATGAAATCAATTTGAAGAAATTAGTGATCTGTGTTTGGCATTGGCATCAGAGATCCTGCACGATAATAAATTTGGCCTTGCACTTTAAATGTTGGCATTTAATTCTCGCACACAATATTTGTTGCACCGAACGATGTCATTTGGAAACATGAATTGCACTTGCGTATTTTTGCCAAGAAATGTTTCTATTGGCTTGTGTCACCTGATACCAACGTTGATAATGGTTCCGGTGGTGAATGTAATTCTGTCAATTTTACTTTCCCAAACGCGCAGCAATTTCCAGTGTTTTTTATTCTTAAATTTGAGGGCACTGCAATGCACGCATAATTTATCTATCCATTTTTCCAATAACCACACTTGGATGAAGACTTTAATAATAATTACCATCGTTATGGAATCCACTAAGTTTAATTCAGCATGCAGTGTTCGTCTAATCGAGCAGTGCGCACTCTATCGTCATACAGTCTTGTTTCTGGCTGCTGAAATGTTTCAGACAAACGTGTTTGAGCATTGGGTACTCCAGTGGTTTCTTGTCTTGCTTTCTTATGCTCGACTGTATCAGATGAACGAGTTTGAGCATTGCGTACTCGAGCAGTTTCTTGTCTTGCTTGTTGTTGCTCGACTTATTCAGATGAACGGGTTTGCGCATTGCGTACTGGAGAAGTTTACAATCCTGCTTCTCATTGCTCAAATATTTCCGAAGCGCGTGATGATTTTTTCTTTCGTGCTATAGGTGTAGAAAAAAACAATATCTTTTCGTTTGGGTGGCATAATTGATTTTACAGTGAAGTGATTGCTTTGTGGCGAATATCTCAAATGCATGTGATATCTGTTCTTAGAATGGTATTTCACAATTAACACAACTTTTTAGGTTACACTCAAAATGAAATATTGCTGTTTGTATTTGATTCAATTAATTTACAATATTGCTAGCTGTAATAATTTTCACATAATAGGATCTTCCATCTTATTATACTAAAACCTCGCACAAAAGGTACGTTCATTGTTGGCAACAAAAAACGCAACATGTGTTCAACGTCATGTCCGATTCTAAAATGCGTCACAAAATTCAAGCTTATTTATAAAAATAACCAAAATACTCTTAACACTAAAAATGCAAAAAACGTGTTTTCTCTGCTTTACTACAAATGAGTCATTTGTTCCAGGACGGTAGTGTTGATAGCCCCGTTTTAAATTATATTGATGACGCTAATTTAAGAAAATGAAAAGGAATATTTTAAAATGGCTGTCCTAATTTAGACAAATTTGTGTGTGGATTCAGCTCCATCCACACATGCAATAGCTTTGTTTGAAATTTTTGTTATAAAGCTCTTAGAAGAAAAATGAAATTTTGGTCACTGGCCCAGAGTATTGTAAAAAGTTTTTATAATTTAGAAACATTTGCGGTAGTGCGTATTTCAATTTATTACGTTTTGTCACAATCGGATGAATGGTTTAGAAATGCAAAAAATAATTATATAGTTAATAAAAGAGTATAAAACTAATTTTGGGCCCCCTGCCACAAACGGATTATTGTAGAATTGTTGTATTAACTAGAAACCTACTTAATATGTCACACACACAATTTAATGTTATGATGTTTAATTTTTTATAAAGCTATCCATCTATGTATTAGCTTAGGTTTATCCCAATCGCTTGAATGGTGTAGGAGCGCATACAGTTTGAAATAATATGTATATAGCTAATATTAAAAAAAACGAACATAGGGCGCCTGGCTTAAACTTGATTTTTTTAAAACGGTTGTAATAATTTAAGAACCTTTGTTGGCGATTGCACAACATCTCGCTATAATTTTATCGCATTCTGAAGAATGGTTTGGAAGCGCATACGGCATTTTTTTTTACAACGCTCATATAAGTAAAAATATTAATTTGGGTCCAACTGCTGAAAACGGAATATTTTAAAAGTGTTGTAAAAAATGAGAAAATGCAAGGCTTATTGACAACAAGTCACTAAAGTTTTGTCGCAATCGCATTAATAGTGTACGAGCGCATACGGTTTGAAAATATGTGTATATACTTTATATAAGAAGAAAACGAACATAGGGCCCCTAGCTCAAAACATAATATTTTGAAACTGTTCTAATAATTCAAAAACCTTTGCAGTCGTGTTGACGGAAACCTCTCACCAATGTTTAATGTAATGGGATAAATGGCGTAGGAGCGTATTGAAAATTATTTTTTACAAAACTCATATGAGAAAAAGTACGAATTAAGGGCCAACGGCTGAACACGGAATATTATTAAAATGTTTAAATAACAAAGTCAAATGCTAAACTTATGGAAAACAAATCCCCAAAGTTATGTTGCAATCGCATAAATGGTGCAGGAGCGCATACTGTTTTGAAATATATTTTTATACAGCTCATATAAGGAAAATACAACATAGAGAACCCGGCTCCAAACTGAATATTTTAAACGGTTGTAGTAATTTAGAAACCTTTACGGACATGCTCGCAACATCTCACCAAAGTTTTATTGGAATCGGATAAATGGCATAGGAGTGCAAATGGAACTATTTTTTTACAAAGCTCATATTTGAAAAAAACAAATAAACGGCCAATGGCTAAAAAAGAAACATTTTATAATGGTCCTAATCGCTTAGTTAAATGGCCGCTTATGTGACAAACAACTGGTCAAAGTTTTTTTGCAATGGCATGAATGGCGTAGGAGCGCATACGAGACATACAAAGATACATACAGACATTCATTTATATATATATATAGATAAAACTCGCGTTCCCCGGAACTGCCTCCCGATTCCATTGGTATCCATATCCAGTCTGTATCAAAATCCATAATCCTTTGAAATCACAATTAATAATAATAATAATTAAGTGTATTTCAAAAACACGCTTCATCCCCAAAGGCTCGAAGCACAGTACAAGAGTAAAAGAAAAAAAAAATCTATAATTTACCACATTTAAAACAAACGCAACTTTACAAAAACTAATTACAAACATACCAAGTCAAAGTCTTTCTAGCCATTTCAACCCTGAGCAACACAGCTAATATGCATTAACTGGAAAATATGGTAGACAATAATCCCAGAAGGTGTTTGCGAAATAAATGTGTCTTTAAATCGGTTTTAAATCACTCCAGTGTCTGATTGTTTCTGAGATCGACTGGAAGGGCGTTCCAAATTGTTGGACCAGCAAATACCAAAGTGCGCTTTCCGCAAGTCTCAAGGCGAAGACGTGGTGTCAAGAGTTTGCCACTGTCGGATGAGTGGAGTTATCTAGTGGGTACATAAGGCGTCAGCAGCTCTTTCAGACAGGACGGCGCAAGGTCATGTAAGCAGTGGTAGCACAACGTTGCGACTGTGTACTCTATGCGAGCACGCACCGGCAGCCAGTGCAACACTCTCAGAAGTGTTTTTGCATTGTCGAACTTGCGTTTGCGGAGAACAATTCGAGTCGCATTATTCTGTGCTATTTGAATTTTATCCAGGAGCGTAACTGGAAGACCCACCATGAGAGCATTACAATAGTCCATGCGTGATAGCACAAATGCAGACAACAACCTCTTTGTTGCATCAATTGTTAGGAAGGGCCTGATGTTACTTATCCTGCGTAGCTCTAGAAAAATAGCCTTGCTTAGCATGTTAATGTGACTTTCCAAGGTTAGTCTTCTGTCTAGGTAGACACCCAGGTACCACACTATTTGAGCTAACTCAATACGCACACATGAGAGAGTAATTGATGTCGTGTTATTTGAAGATTTTTGCTTCTGAGCGGTCGCGATGGGGAGCAGCTCAGTCTTATCATCGTTCAATTTGAGCTTTTTTATGGTCATCCAGAGCTTAACTGATTTATCTGTCTTCTGTGTCATACTGAGCAGCTGAGGGAACTTAGAGGGGATCACGGATTGATGAAGTTGGGTGTCGTCTGCGAACATGTGGTATTGCATGTCAAACTGATTGATCTCTGCACCCAGGGGCTGAATGTACATTGTGAAAAGCACCGGACTTAGGACCGAACCCTGGGGTACTCCGAATTCAATATTAGATTTCTTCGAAATTAAACCGTTTGAAATAACTGACTGGACCCGATAAGTCAGATATGATCGGAACCAACTCAGGACGGTATCAATGAGACCGAACGTTTTTTGCAGACGCTGGAGCAGTATGCCGTGATCAAGCGTATCGAAAGCTGCCGATATATCGAGTAAAGACAAATTCGATACCTGACCCTCATCACAAGACGACAGAAGGTCGTTTACGACGCGCAACAGGGCTGTCTCAGTAGAGTTATGCGCCCTGTATGCTGACTGGAAAGTTTCAAACAATTCATATTGAATGAGGTGATCCAGGAGTTGGCGGAGAACGACTTTTTCTAATATTTTGGATAAAAATGGTAGATTTGAGCTGGGGTGATAATTTCCCATCACATTTGGGTAAAGATTTAATTTCTGTAATAGTGGAGTGACGTTCGCCACTAATTACGATGGGATCCCGATCCCGATTTGCATCCTGCTCCAAAAATTGGACTCGTGGGGATGCCGACCCATTGGGATTCTGATGCCGATTATAATCCCTTTTACTAATGGGATCCCTTTTCCAAAATCGATCCGAAATCCTAATTGGATTATGACCCCTATGGAATCCCGACCTAATTGTGATACAGATAGGAACTTATTTCTAAGTAGGATACAAAGTTCCAATTGGATCCCGTTTTTATTGGGATACGGATCAAATTAGGATCCTTATGGTGTCCATTTTTCCGTTGGGATCCCGATCTCGATAGTATCCCGTTTTAAATCTGTTGGGATCCAATTTCTGACAGAATCACGATCAAGTCGGTATACTGATCCCGGTGATATCTAGATACCAGTTGAATCCTGAACGAAGTGTGATTCATATCCCAGTTGACCTTATTACCCTAGGGTTCATGATCCCAATAATATACCGATCCCTGTCAAATCCTGATTCCGGGATGATAAAGTTTTCCGATAAGTTCCCAATCAAGCTTGGATTCCAATCGTATGGGATCTCGATCCCGAACTATTCCGATCCCGGTGGTATCAAGATCACAGTAGACACGAGCTTTGCAATAGAATACCAATCCATGTGGTATTCTCTTTTCTGATAAGATCTTCTTTCCCAATAGCATGTCAATCCAGGTTTGATCCTGACATGCGATGGGATCGCTTTACAGGTTTGTTCAATTTACGAAAAACGAAATTTGGCCCCAGAGGAATGGACATGATGAGTTAAGTACCTTACAGGATTAGAATATTTCTAATCAAGAGCATGTGCACTAAGTTGGATCACGATCCATGTATTCATGTAAGAGTGATTGTTAACTTTATTTGTAAAACTCACATAAGGAAAAAACGAATTTTTCTGCCTCCACTCCAAATAAAATGTTATAAAAAGTTTATTAAAGCATTAAGAATTCCTTCTAGATGATGATATATTTATTTGCCATGTCTGGTCAAGATTTATCAATCCATATAAAAAAAAAACCTTTGCGGAACAAACAAACAAATAAACAAACAAACTTTCAATTTTATATATGATACAAGCCAATATACTCGGCGTGACCCAGGACTGCATTAGGACCCCATCCACATTGTATTCCCAATCCAATTCTGACACTGATCCCAGCACCATCCCGTTTACCGATGTGTTTCCGTTCCACCAAAGGACCACCTTTTTCATTGTTTTTTCCGTTTCCCGATAGAATCCCGATCCCAGTTTGATCCCGTTACCCAATGGGACCGCATTACTAATGGGTTCCAGTCTACTTTTGTATCTTGATCCTAATTAAGATGATATGCATCTAGCGGATCATGCTCAGTGCGATTTATTTCTAACAAGCTTCTGTATACATATATATATCCCCTTAGAGCAATATATAACCTTCTATAACATTCTAGATTGAATTTACAATCCTTCAAGAAATGGGTAAAAATTACTTGTCTACGTAATTATTTCTCGAATGCAAAATATTATACAACTTAGTTATACTACTATAATTATAATACATTTAAATTGAAATAGGGGCCCCTGTTAGCGCAGATTTAAAGTTCCGTTTTAGTCATGTCTGAGATGGGGGGAGGGGGATATCAAATTCATTCAGATAAATTATAAAGTAAAAATTTTAATTTTATCCCATTAAAATCGATTTAAAAATGCCATAAATATAGCTTTTTAAATTATTGAAAATTCTGAATGGGATATTATTAGTTTTAAATCCACCGATATTTCATTACAGACTAAGAAGCGTAATGAACAAAGCTAGGCTTAGATTTATAAATTGACATAAAACTTATACCGTTGTCTAACCCTTTTGATATTTATACAGCTTATAAAAGGAAAAATGAACTGGGGCCACAGAGAAATGGATATTATTATTTCAGTACCCTTCGATATTTGAATATGAATGATCATGTGTATGTGTAAGAAGTTTGGTAAAAATCAATCCATTTATGTAGGAGTATTAAGCCACTTGATATTTAAATAGCTTACGAAAGGAAAAATGAAATGGGTCCCCCGTGCCCAGAAGAATGTATATTATGAGTTCAGTACCCTTCGTTATTTGAATATTGATAATCAAGTGTATATGTTCTAAGTTTGGTCAAGATTCATTAATTCATGTAAGAGTATTTGTTTAGTAATTTTATTTATATAGCTTATATGGAAAAAAAACAAATCGGGGTCCGCGGCCCCAAACGGAAGTTATAAAAAGTTCATAAACCCTTCTTCCTTCAGAATAATGATATGAGCCAAGTTTTGTAAAGATCCATCAATTAAGGTAAAAGCCTTTATAAAACAAACAGACAGTCAAATAAATTTGTACTTTTATATAAATAATAAATATATAGAATATGATATGATATATGTATGTTACAGGCAATATGAATAATAGGGCATTAATCATAATGCCCGGGCAATTTAAAAAAGTGCCCAATGGGATGTGACAAAATGATAAGTGTTATAGCAAATATTACATTGCCGGGCATTATGAATAATGCTGGAAATCGAGTGGGCAATTTGAGAATTGTTGTTATTCATATTCATAGTTCTCTACAAATAAAAAAAAATATTAGTATATTATATATTCAAACACATTTTAAATAACTATCAAATAAATAAAGATACAAACTAGTGGTGATAAAAAAATAATAAAAAATGAGTACGCCTACCTAAACAAAAATATTAGGTATGTAATTAAAAATACATATACACAAAATGTCAAATTCTAGGGTTTCCATTTAGCAGAGCAACTTCCACTTTGGTGACTTTCGAGTTACATTCTTTTTTTTTTTACAGCCCTTCACTTGTTAGTTTAAAAGCCACATTTACAGCGCATCGACTATAGCATTCGCTCCTGTCTTGGATGACATTCATGCACATTCTCTTAGTGAAATCTCTGACTGAAGAATTTCATCTGCATAAATAACCTTTTAATTACATATTGTAAATGGCTCCTAGCATAAAGTTGATTTAGTATTCCATGTTTCGTGCCTAATTTATAAAGATTGGCATCTATTAGTTCAAGAACAAATGCCAAAATATTTCTTCCATCAGTGCGACTTCTGTCGACATCTGGGACTTGAACTCTAACTGTGTCATCCTTTTTAGCGGCAGAATATTTTGCTTTAAAGGTTTGAAGCAATTTTTCAGCAAAGTTGAAGGTGGAACATAACTATCAATAGAAGATAGTTCCTCCTCGTTATGTTGACTTGGACCTAGCTCGTCTAAAGAATTTGACCCTGGTTCATTTTGCGGTGACCCTTCTTCTACAGACTGTATAACGTTTTGATCATTTTCTATTACTTCTGCTTTTATTGTCTTCCAGCCACGAGCAAAGCATATTTTCTACTTTAGTATTCGCACGTTCTACTGAGCCCTGACTTTCAAAGTGTCTGGGCTCTCAATGTACTATTTTTAACTTGGGCCACTTTTTACATAGTTCATTAATAGTACTGTTCGCAAATTCTCCCCTATTATCACTTTGCAAAATAGTAGGCGCACCAAAAATGGTAAATATGTCAAAAATCACATAAGCTACTTCTTCTGCTCTTTTGCTTTTAAGGGGTAAAAGTTGAATAAATTTAGTTAAATGTAATACATTATCCTAGATTGTCGTAGAAAAATAGAAAATTATTAAATTGCCTGATTTTATCGGTCATTATTCATAATCAACAAGCATTATGAAAAATGCCCTATTATTCACATTGCCCGTAACATATATGATATATGATATGATAAACGACGCAAATCATCGTGAATCAGCTCAATTTCAATTTTAATAATATTTAAAAAAAAAACTTTAAAAAAATAAAACTGAAAAAAATAAAGTATTCCTTTCAGAATATTGTCTTCTTGGTTCATTTATATGTGACGTCTCTTTTTAACGTCAATCATCAGCAACTCCACATACAATTTTTTGTGATTAATATAAGAAAATCACAATGACTAACATTTTTTCGTGTGGATATCTATTTAAAAATGACGTATTTTTCTTTGATAAGCACCGTGTGTCTTTTTCCGATCTACCATTTCAGTTCAAATGAAAGTCCACGTAACAGAAATTTCAAAGCATGTAAATCTGCGCGACATGATACTGTTTTAACTCGAAATAAAGTTTTAACCGTCTTTTTTAAGACTCAAAGACAACCATTTACATATATTAAAATACATTTTAAAAAAGACGTTGATAAAATTATTAGATTACTGATTAAATAGCGTTTTATTATTGTCAACATATTATATAAAATGTAAGTGTAAAAGTAAAATGTTAAAAATGTTGAAAGGAATGTTCTGAAACCACGCCCTGAAGCGCAACCCCACCCCTAAAAAAAAAATATGAATCAACAACTTGCCAATGTATAGAAATGCTCAATATATGTCTACATACATTTTTTATAAAATCACACCCCAAAGCCATTTGGGAATGCAACTTTCACCTCAAATGTATATGTACACTTGAAACACTTTTCTTTGTTCATGATTTTATGAAAGCCATTGCCGGATTAAGACTTGTGAGGCACTAAGCAGTGAAAATTTTGCATCCCTCTGGGACGACACTTATGAAAGTTAAAGAGAGGCCTATTCCCAAGCTGTTCACCCTGGGTAGCATTCAGTAAATTTACTAAAAAAGCAAACCCTACCCGAGAATATCCATATCATTTCCTTGGAATTCAATTCAAGTATTTGTTAATTTTCAATACTGATAAATAAAATGTATTTGTTTCGTATGCTTATTTGTCATTTCTTAACTGTTAAAATTTACCGACAAAAACATGTTTCGTTTATCTCTTGTGGCTGTCATCAAAAATATTCTCTTTAAAATATAATTTTATGACGTGAACGTTATTAGAGAAAATGTCGTTTAGTTAGCTTCATTATATATTTTATATTTATATTTCAATTCGATAAGTTGATATGATAAAAATCTCCATTCGAAATATACAATAATTCAATACAAACCTGCTCATGATAAAATCCCAACCCCAAATATATTGAAAAAGTGATGGACCTTTTATGAACGGCTCCTGAATCTATACTGCGATAAAGCTTTTAAGTAATATAATGAAACATAAGTTGAGTATATACAAGCTTATTAGTAATTTTCCAAAAATCAAAGAAAAGTTTAAATTTTACGTCTCAGCTACTCAAGCGTTCATCCACTGCTGTGCAAACCAATCCAAGAGGAGTTCCTTTCCGAATCCGAAGTAGAAAACCGTTATCCTGTCACGTGTAATCTGGCATTCTTTCTTACAACATAACAAATAACATTAATGTGTGAGTGGGCAGCCCAAAAATTTGAAAACTTGCCATAACATGGCAATGAATGTCATGAACTCTTTCACTAGTTACAAATTTCCTTCACCCACTCCTCTTTAAGAAGAATCACTGTGAACTTACTTTTTTTTTTCTTTCGTCAAAATTAGCTTGTATTAAATCTCTCCCCTATTTCTGTTCTGTTACATTTCCCTCTGTGATAATACTTGCAGCCCAGTGTTTTTTTAAATTGTATACATTTTGATTGATGTGTTTTCACTGATGAAGGCTTCTAGCGAAAACGTTCTTTGTTTTGTTGCGTGCTTTTTTAAAGTTTTCCCATTCCATTTTTAAAAACGTATTTTTCTTTTGACTAAACAATGAAACTTTTTATGTTGATCCTTTGATATTTTCATGGTGGGATCACAATTTCCTTTCGATTTCATTACCCGGTTGTATCCGCTTTTGAGTGGAATAATTTAGTTTCTTAATGTTTTCCTTCCCGGTAGAATACCATTTCCCAGTGGGATACCTTTCTGTGGAAGAATCTTATTCCCGAGAAGATTTTGTTCCATGTAGTATACTTAAAGTTATACCAGAGATAGTTGCCTACTTTTGCCAAGAGTCATCCATAATGTACACGTTTTACTGCATTAAACTTGATTTGTTAATTTGTGAAGAATTAATTTGGAACCGATTAGAAATTTTCAAATGTGCCATTATTTATTGGTCATAACATTTGAGGGAACTCATGGAACATTATATTAAAAAGAAAGATAAATAGGACATTTAAATGTTCCTAAAACGATAATAAAAATTATAGAAGCTTCTAATTCTAGGATTTTATTTAAATATCAAGAAACGGTGTTTTACATTAGATTCATGACAAGGTCTGCAACACGAGTATACTGTTTCCCATAAATAGCCAGATTAAAGGGATGAAAAGTTACAATTATTAAAGATCTATAAAAATTTTCAGAATATGTTTTTAAAAAGAATTATGTGGTTTCATCACTTTAGTTCGAGTTAAAGCTCCTACTGAAAATGGATTCAAAATTATTCTGTTAAAAATACAAAACTTCCGACTTTCAGATTATTATTACAAACTCTAAAGCCCACGTCAGCATTTAATATAATGATGTATCGTATACCCATGTACATAAAAAAAAATAAAAATAAACAAATCTCAATATAAAAATAATAAAACAGGTATCCGTGCCTTAAATGGTAGCATCACCCATTTCTGCTCACATGGACATCAACATCCCCATCACCTATCAGGTGATTAAATATTACTAAAGAAAAGAATCGTATATTTGATATCTATTTTTTTTTCATACCAGTTCTTATGCATTTATTAGGCACTTTTCTTATCTTTATTCTACAGAATTTATGCACGCTCAGACGATGCAAATTAGTCACTACAGGCAACACAGTGAGACAAAGTGCACTGAAGGTCTACTCAGTGGTGATATTATCATTTTTAAGGCTGAGGTAGATTACAGAGAAGATCCGAAAATGAAATATGTGTTCATATATATAAAGAAAAAAATGGATATATTACCTGATGTAAGTTCTGTTTACAGAGTATTATACAACTAATGTTATATACATAATTATTTTGACAAGTTTCATTTTAAAATGTATTAATTATTTATTTCTAATTATGTTTTTAAATGACATGATTCCGTGACAAAAATGCGCACAAAAATAATTGTTTTATAGTTTTACATTACAGGCTAATACCTGAAGAAGCAGTTATTTCTTAATATTTTTGTATTAGTTTATAATGGTTATTGTTAACTGGTATAATTTTCAAAATTTAATTCTATTCAAGTTGAGTGCCTTAGAGGACCTAGATTAATTCTAAAAAAAAAAAAAATTTTTAGAAGGGGCGTCGAAGAACATGAAAAAAGTTGGTCGTTAGAATATAGCAATACTATAAAGGGGAATCTGTTTAGAGAAAATCCTTTAGACACAAAGATCACTGGCTTTTATTGTTATTCTAAATGCTATTTATTTTTGTTTTTTGTTGACTTCATTTGTAGAAATTTGATATATCGAAAATTGATAAAAGAATAAATGTTGACGCCAGGAAATATTATCCACATATTGGTCTAAGTAGAGAACATGGTCGACAAGCCCTTTGTAGGGTTATGATCAAAGTAATTGGTGATGCAGTCGAAAGTTCTTCTTAGAGTTTGATACAATATGAATATACAATTCCAAGAAAGCTTGCTACGTTAATTTGCCTCTGCTCTTGCATGGGTTAGTCATCTTCAATCAATTTTTCTGCAGTTTTTTACCATAGTCATTTGTTGCGTAGGACTTCCGAGTAGCATACACTTTGTTTGTCCCCAAATTAGATTCCTAGCAGACGCTAACACTTGTTATGGGCGTGGTTTAATCTCCTCGATGAGTCGTGTTTACTACCGACTACCAATTAAACATGGTTTGGTTGTCTCCTAGTATCTAGTCGAACGTATTCAATTTGCCGATAAACGTAAACAAATGCTGAGTAGTTTCTGGAATGCAGTGTTTATCTGCATATATAAGGGATTGACAGGGACGGAGATTAAGTGAGAGATTCAGAGAGATTGATAGATATTTTAACTTCACAAGACGTGTATTATTCTTTGTGTACTAATATGTATTTATTCGCTTTTATCATTCATCATTATTAATTCGAACATTGTACTTATTCTGTACCGGTACAAGATCTACCATGCTATGTAAGTTAACGATTTGTAATTATGTTTCTTTTGTTTTGTAAATGTATTATTACTAAATTAAATCTTATTAGCTGTAATTGGTACTGTTTTGGGTGTCGTATTTTTGTTATTGTATTTATCTATGGTATCGCCATTTGTTAGACACTGTTTGAACGAGCCATACAATTAAAACAAGAGATTAATTTCTCACAAGACAAGCCAGTGCGTAACATCATTCAAATCGTTGTTGTCTCATTATTCTACTTGAAATGTGTAAAAATTTAAACACTCGTATAATGAACTGTAAAATACCAATAGTAGTGCGTAAACTATTGACAGATCCTTCATAGTTTGGATAATTTATTGAATAAATGCTGAAGTCAAACGTGAAGGTCTGCACATATCTTCGTTTATATACATAATTTTGACCTCTTTTAAAGTTATTACTTTATTAAAATATGGCTCATACTGATTATTTCGTCAAAACAACATGTTGGCAGTCGGAATCTCGTCTCATTGCTGTTCTACTTGTCTCGCTTCTAGCGTTTCTCATCATCTAATAGCTTTTCGGGGTTATATTGTGTTGTCGGAAGAAATGATTGATTTGATTCTTAATTTGCTTTAACAATGTTCATTTTCTTAATATTCCTTCTGATGCGTGAGGCTTGATTGCAGTCCAGTACTTTAAATGCGCATATTATGGTGCATGTTGTGCAGCAGGCTGAAATAATGACGTCAACGTTACATGAGACAATGTACCTTCAAAATTCCTTGCCCGTTGATTATTTTTGAAACCATTAATACGAATAACACAGCTTTGTAAAACCATCTTTTGTTCTTGTGGCAATGTGTGCAAATCGGAGTAATTATGTCGGAAAGAAGTATGTAGAGGAACTCGGGATGTGCCAGGGCCAATCATTTTTTTTTAAATTTGGGTTTTGACAGAATGTTTTTTTCTTCTTCAGACCTGTTGATACATTTTGTGACAAGATCACGATTGAACAAGCGTTTCTAGTTGTCCCCTCTGTTTATATGATTCGATATCATCTTCCAGGCATGTCCTAAATTTTCAGATGTTTCAAGTTGTCTACTCCGTTATTGAAATTTAGCATCTGCTGCTCATTGTACTTGATACTGTTCTGTAGTCTTGCATTGACGATTTCAGCCTTTCTCTTCAGCTTCGTCTGTTTGAATATATCGGTACAAATAAACCACGGATGGCTTTCCTCGGTTGCCACCACTTTCCTCCTTTTGTGCGAACATTTTCAGCGTCCTTCCTTTTCACTCCCCAATCCAATCCATTCCTCAACCTGATCTTGACTTTTTATCCAATCACTTACCGAATAGTTCCAATGCTCGGTAAATCAAAGCTTCTGATTGCTTACAACAAGTAAAACAATCTTCAACAGCACAAATATTTCTAAACATTTTTCCATTACCGGGTATTAGGGGACATTCGGGAAATACACATTTTTACTCACGTTTCCCATTGTGTTAATATTAGATAATTTTTATTTATTTTATAAAATTATAACAAAATATGTTAGCCTTTCTTTTAATTACAAATTCTGAGCAGAAAATGTTTGTAAATATAAATGTTTGTATAATATTACATATTACTATTCAAACAAATACAATGTAGTTATAATTAAAGTGTCCTTATATTTCAGGCATCAGTATATAACTTACAGGATGACTTCACAATGAACAGGACTTGCTGCCAACGCATGAATACAAATCGTGTAATTATTACAATAAAAATGAATGTTACAAAAACGTACAGTGATGCAAAGATATATGGCAGGCTAATAACTACAAAAGCGAAGGAGATTGTTAGTGAATTCCAACATTTTCCAAAAATATATGGTAAAATTAAATCATTCACTTTTTTGGGAATTTTTTAAGTGAAGCGATAAATATGTTGTGTATACATTTGAACAATTACAAAGACATTTAATCATTTCTTATATGGAATGACAAAGTCTTTTAAATTTGTTAAATATGTTATTAAAACTATTGTTACCCGTATTGCAACTTGGTTTTATAATATTTTTTTTTTACTTTAGATTATTCAGATATAGACAGTGTTTTGAACGTCAATGGCAAAAACATTTCTCCCAAAGATGATACTTGTGTAATTAGTCTTGATGTACCAGATGTCATCATTTTTTTTGCTTGTCAAAGTCAAATTTCCCCATGTTTGATTGAGATCTCATCAACTGACTCTACAAAATTGATACAAAGAAATTATTCCGCTGCATACATAACAAGTAAAAAAAAGTCAAAGGACATAGATGTCACGATACGGTATGGCGCATGCAGATTAGATAAAACCCCATTCGTCATTAGATGTACATTAAAAACAGGTGAGTGTATTAAAATTTGTAAAAGGTAGAAATTAGAAGTCCTATTTATCTTAACTATACGAATAAACTCAAAAACATATGCTGTATTTATTTTATTGTTATTGCTATTTTTTAATAAAAAAAAAAGAATAACACAATACAAATTAAAAATATATGTAACAAATGCAAGTCAAGGTTGTAATGTTTCTTATTTATATTAAAAAAAAATATGTAAAACATGAATCGCATGGACACCACCTTGCCTAAAACAACCTCTGTTTATATTGCTTAAAATATAGGACATTTTAAACTGTGATTTTTTTTAAAAGCTACTTTTTAATCACACATAATTAATTCAAGTTTCTGCTAATTTATTAACTTATTTGTTTGGGGTGGCAATGTATAGCTTGGTATGGGATAGTTACAATGGGCAAAAATAAACACTGGATAAATGGATAAATTTAAAAATTCCTGAGACAATAAAAAATTAATAGTTTTTTTTTAAATATTGTTTGCCAACAACCACTACAGAACGAGTAATCCGATCTAAATTAATCGAATGTTGTAGTGTTACAATAGCTATGCTTTAGTAATTTTGACTGATCAACACTATAATAATTAATGCATGTGTATAGTTTTCTGCCATGGTGATATTTCCTATCTACTAGTAATGTAAATAAATTATGATATTTTACATATGCTGTTTTATTATGAACTCACCTGAAATGGGGGGTAGAGACTTTGAAAATTATTTTTTTGTTTTTCTATGATTATTTTATATACTCTTAAATATATATTTATTTTCATTTATAATTTCATTTTTAAAACATATATTCAAACGGAAAAAATAATGGTAAAATAGACAATTCAATCAATATTAGGATATTTGGAATACTTCTTTTAGGTAAACAGTCAATTTTTTTTTTGAAAACAATGTAATAATAAACCCATCCAAGTATAATGTACACATACGATATTTATTTTATATATATATATATATATATATATATATATATATATATATATAAAATAAATATCGTATATTCTAATTCTGCTAAAATAAGTTGCTGCAACAAAGTACTGGCATATGTGCAACGGTTTGGAAAACGAAGCGGCCATCCTAACCGCTCCTAGCGGGTGTCAAGGGCGGCCTTGAAGCTCCCGATTTATTTGGAGACCACGGCGGCATCTCCAGTTGGTTCCATGCAATTATTGTTCATGGGAAGAATGAGTGTTTATATTGAACTGTGTTACATTGAAGCACAGTGAAGTATGTATATTTGTTCCGGATGTAACTGCTCATGGAGTTGTCAGAGGTGAAGTCAGTGTTTATTGAGTGTTTAGCTCTGATTAATCGACCTGGCTTCTGAGGGGTTAGATACGTGTGAGGTGGAATGGCTGGCAGTAGCCCCTGTAACACATTTAGAGAGAAATGTTAGGCGGAGCTTTTCTCGTCTGTACTTTTAAGAGATCAGTGACGAAGCCAGAAGTGGTGGATTTTTAGTCACTTGCGATGAAGCGCACCATGTTTCATTTTGTCGACGTCTTGCTTTAGGTATGGGTACCCGAGTTTATCGCAGCATATTCTAGTAGTGGACGGACGAGTTCGACATAGGCACTTTTTGCAGATTGTTGGGCAGTGGCGCAGATTCCAATGAATGAAACCAAGTGTGGAGTTGACTTTTTTGAAATTGTGTTTTTTGGGGTGAACATTTTAGATTATTATTGAAAAAGTTCTAAGTAATGGATTATTTGACACTCCTTGGGAATGTTCTTGTTTAGAGAGTGCACATATCATTATATCTATGTCTATCTGTACATCTATATATTTATATCATATCTTCAGAGAAAAGGGCATGTACTGAACTAAATCAACTTAAAGATTCAAAAAGCAACAGTGATGACCCCATTAGCTGCTTTTATTGTCCCATCATTTTTTGCAACATCGCTATAATCATTGTCAGCGCAAGCGTAACAGCAATATTGGTAAAAAGGTAAAAAAAAAAAAAATAGTTTTTTTTGGTCTTTACTGTACATTAAATTCCTTTTCATAAAAAAGATATTTAGAAAACAATGACCCAATTAGCTGCTTTTATTGCCCCATCATTTTTTGCAACATCGCTAAAATCATTGTCAGCGCAAGCGTAAAAGCAATATTGGTAAAAAGGTAAAAAAAAAAAAAAAATAGTTTTTTTTGGTCTTTACTGTACATTAAATTCCTTTTCATAAAAAAGATATTTAGAAAACACATGGTTTAATTTAAAATACAATTTTTATGTTCTAAATCAAACCATTTTTAAAAATATGATTACCAATATTAAAGAGCATTAACATTACAAATATTTTTATGCTAGAGTTAGACTTGTACGTTGAAGTTTCAAGTGTAAGATACTTTTTATGTAAATGTTACTTCAATAACTTGTGCATTTCTTAAATAAGATAAGATAAGATGTGATAAGATTCTTTTATTGTTCAAAATAAATGGAAATGTTTTTTGATTGCATTATACGTTATCAGCACATAAATGAAACAATTTGAAGACAAGACATTTAAAATAAATTATCCCAAAAAGCTATTCAGTGACTTCTCTTAGCCAAAACGGAGACTTATTAGTCTCATGAAGATGAGTGAATTCAGAGGAACATGCCGGTAAATTCGTACAGATTGGGGAACAGAAGAATTTTTATATCTGTCAGTCCTTGTCCTGATGGAAAGAATTCGTCCCAAACAGCCCGATCCTAAGTATATGTGATGAAGAGGGTGGGATGTATCATCCAAAATGTGTGTAGTTTTACAAAAACATCTTTCTTCAAATAGTTCTTCAAGTAAAGTATGTTTAGTTTGTGTTATGTTCCTAGTTTTCTTGATTAGTCGGTATATGCAGTGTTTAATTTTAGACGCTGAATTGCAACATCAGCAGGTAATATTGAAATTAAGTAGGCTTCCAGTTGTTGCAATGTAGAATACGTTAATGATTTGCTTATTTACGCCGAAATTGTTCAGTTTTTTGAGGTAGAACAGTCTTTGGTTGAATTTGAGAAAATTTTCATCGTGCCAATTGATAAAGCTTGTAACTAAATTGCGGTATAGGACTCTCTTTAAGATATTGAGTTAACGATGATGGTATGATTAGCAAATTTTAAGATTGGAAGGGTGTCGCTTGAGCTTTGAATATCATTCGTATATATGATATACAGTACAGGATAGAATGCAGCCTTGTGGTGTCCTGGTGCTTATTTCGCTGGTTAGAGGTAATTGGTTATTTGCTTTGACATATTGTGGTTAATTTGTCAAAAAGGTCAGTAGCCAAGCCTAAATATTCAAATTGACACAAAACGAGGAACGTTTATGCCTTATAAGGTGTGGTTGGATAGTATTAAATGCTGAAAAGAAGTCTAAGAAAAGCACTCTGGCATATTTTTTAGGACTGTCTAGGTTATGGTAAAGTCTCTACTACAATAGTAAGATTGCATCCACCGTACTTCAGACAGGTTTGTGAGCAAATTTGGGGGGGGGGGCATTTTTGCTGTACTTCATTCAAAATTTCTTTCAGAATCATTTTCTCAAAAATGTCATTACAATAAAAAGTAAGTGCAACAGGTCGTAAGTAGTTGTTGCACGTTTCCTTATTTTCTTCGGAATATCTATGATTTCTAAAGTATTCCTAATTTCTGGTATTGTGTGAGTTACATAAGATTTATTAAATATGTAACAACAAATTTAGTAGAGCTGCTCTGAGCATAGTATAATGAGCCGAACACTTAATTTGTCTGGTCCTGAGGACTTGGCTGCGTCCACTTGTTAAAATAAAGCTACCACTCGCTGTTCGGTGAACAATAAAGTACCATCTTGTGTACTACTACCATCGTTACATGAAGTCATTATCTCATAGTGTACTTTTAGAAAGTCCAGGCTGTCCAAACGACAATAAAAGTCATTTAAGTCGTTAACAAAATTCTTCACGTCCTCAACACACAAGCATTCTCGCTTAGGAGTATATCCTGTTATTTGCTTTAGTCCTGCCCAACAAGCCTTTCAGTTGTTATAAAGGAATAATGTTTCGATTTTTCGTTTGTATTGTTTTTTACCCTGATAATATGTTTTCTTTATTATTATTATTTTTTTTTTACTTTAATGCATTCCCGATTGTTAATACTAAACATCTTTTTCTTGTGTGTATGGCCTCCTTTATTTCTCTGCTCATCTAGGGTTTGTTGTTGTTAAATACACGAATTGTATTTTTGGGGGAACTGTTTCGTCTACACAAAACTTAATGTAGGAATTTACGGTGTTTTTTTAGCTCGTCAAAGTCCGGGCAAGTGTTCAAAAACGTGTTCCATTCTGTACATTCCAAGCAGACTGGAAGTTTTTCTGTCACCTTATCTGACCACAGTCAATAGATTTTGTCTGAATTGTTGATGTCTTTTAAACTGGATTATAGCATTGCATTAGGCGAACCATTGTGTGGTCGGATTCTCCTAGTGGAAATAAAGCATGACATCTGTAGGCCTTTTTTTATATTACCATAAAAAATATTCAGAGTTCGGTCTTTTCACGTGGGGCAAGAAGCTTAGTGGATGTAATTTGGCATGAATTTATGCAGTGATAGTTGATTCAAGTCCCCCATAACAAGACGAACGGAGTCTTGGCTTTTGTTTTGAAATCATGGATTACATCCAAAAGTCTCTCAGTAGCCTGCTCCTTGTTAGCATTAGATGGAATGTAAGTGAGGATGATACAGATTTTGTTTAACTCCCTAAGTAGGTAAAATGACCTAAAAATGATGCAGATTATTTCTATGTGGGGCGTACAAACTACATGTTTGAATGTAATGTTTTTAATGCTACAGTAGTTTTTGTTAAAATATACTGCCAATCCTCCTCCCTTGGATTCGCCACTGTCAGTTGTTCTATCGGCACGGAAAAGTTTAAAGTCTTCCAATGCAAATGCTGAATCTGGTATCGTTTCACTAAGATATGTTTCTGGCATATTAAAAATCTTTCGCGAAATTGATAGAAATGCTTACAGCAACAATCCAACAATAAGATAATAATGTTTGAATTATGTTTCAAACGTCTGGAAAAAATATATATATTGAAGCAACTAAATAAATAATGCTTTCACACCCCCCAATAAATAAAGAATTACATACATTTTAAATTGAAAAAAAAATAAAAACATGAGAGAGTAAAATAAAATACCAATTTTCTACATGACATTTTAAAAGTTGTTTAATTTTCTAATTATGTATGCTGTATTGTCATAAAATAACTTATTTTTATATTCATGCTTATGTTGATCACAATGTGTTAATTTTTATTTTAAAGATGTTTTCGATACAAAAGGAATCACAAGGACCAGAACAATGTAAGGGAATTTCTAACGATTCATTTTCTTAAGAATTATTATTCTAGCATTATAATTGATATTTTTCGAATCATAAATTATAATTTTTATGCAATGAAGTGAATCATAATTTTTATTTCATTTAGTCATATTCGGTAAATTGTGAATGAATTGCTATATGAAATATCTGGAAATACAATTATTTCAAATATACATTTTTAAAAAAATATACAAAAATTATATAAACATAGTGATTGGTGTTTGTAAATAGCTCGAATTTTTAAACAAATTTAAAACATAATACATTCTCATAGCTCAAGTCATGTGAGTGTTAAAGTTTGAATGAAGATGCTTTAAACAAGATCAAAACATTGACCTTTCATAGAAAAGTAGTCATATGAGTGTAGGCTTATGGTTTTTCAGTTAATGAAATTTAAGAAATATCTTGCAGATAACAATCTGGTTGTTTTTTGGGGGGCATGTAAATGATTCAGAGAAAAGATGATTCAAAACAAATCAATCTACCACAAGACATTTTACTTAGCAGCATAAGAGAAAAAGACGCGCATACATATACAACCATGATTTTTTATAAAGGAAAAATCGACACACAATTGTTCCTTACTATGCGTTTAACACATAGAAAACTATCCACAACAACAAACATTGCATACTCATCTGCGCGTATAGAGAATTCCCAAGTTATATAAAGGCATTCTATATTTTACTCTCATTTAATCCTTTCCTGGTGCACGACTTTAAGCTGACCCAATTTCGCATGCTTTAGTATTGGGCGTGCCTTACTCTATTTGGTCTTCTTTCCTACCAACCAATCTGTCGTCTGTTTCTTTACTTGAATATGGTAGAACATTGTATAACGTTTGAGTCTCTCTTATGATGCGTATTCTGACCTCCAATCCTCCATGGAATAGACTATAAATACATGCTAGTTGCACGCATACAAGAGAGAGAGAGACACAGACAGCGTGAGAGAGTTATTTTGGAACGCATGATTGCTTTTTTTACAATACACTTCCTTTCATTATTTGTATATTTTTGTACATTATGTTTTGTTCAACATTGTACTTGTACCAGCCAACAATGTACTGTGAGTTTATAGTTTTTAATTCGTGTGTATTTTTGAATATTGTATTAATAATTAACTTAATAAAAGGTATTTATTGTAGTATGCCCTGTTTCGAATATTGTGTCTCAATGTGATTTTTTTTATCATTTCGTATCGTCTTTTATTATGCACTGCTTTGGGTAAACGTCGTACCCTAAATTAGAAAATTAAATTTCTCCCTACTAAAAGCGGTGCGTAACATACCTTTATAGATTATTCAGCATTCGAGTATTCTTAACATTTTTTTTATTTTTAATGTTAGTTTATCAAATGTGTAAAAATCATTGAAAAAGTATGTTCGCGGAAAAAAAAAAAAAACCTCTGTACAACTACTTTCTTCAAAATTCGATTTTGTGTAAAACGCATTTGTCAAGCAACATTTTTTGTTAAAAACTTGCTTATTTAATAGAGGGCGAACAAAAGAGAGTAACTTTAACAAAAAGTAATGATTAAAAACGATAATCATATACTATTTTAATTTTTAAAACGAAATATTGTTGTTGTTTTTTTTGTATTTCTTTAGTTATTAACAAATTTGATTTTACACCACGCCTTACCTTACACTGTTTTATATATTATTCTAATTTCTTTTTAAATGTATAATTAGTTAAACAAATATATATTTACATCTATCCTTTTTTCCTTACAATGCGAACAAAAAAGGAATTACAAGTATCTAAAAGGAATCATGACCATCCGAGTATTGAACTAAATCCGTTATTTCAAGTAGACAAAGAAGAACAACAAAAAGGTGAGATTCTTCTTTTCCTCTTAATGGTTTATATTAATATAATTACTTTAATATTGGTTGCTATTAACGTAAAGAGATGTAACGAAATTTAAATATATCACATTAAATGGCGTATTCACTTTTAACACCAAAGGGATGCATGGGGAAACAAATATATAGTTTTTTTAAATATAGTTTTAAAATGAAAATAATATATTAAAGAGAGTCCTGGGGTTTTCTTCTTAAATGGACAAGAAAGCTAGAAAATACTAAAAGATAAAAGTTGAAATGTTCAGTTTTTATGCCGAATACCTACGAATGACAAAATTAAATAAATAATGTAGACAACATTTCAAGAGGCAACGCTATTAAAAAAAAAAAGATATCGCATATTGTTGGGGCGTAGAGGTCTAGTTCTTATAATGCACTAAGTTTGCGAAGACACTGATATGGGCATGATGACAATATGGGAACTTTTAAAGAGTCCTGAGGAAACCCAAAATGAAATACTTGCGGAATTGTAAACTTCACAAGCATCCAATTTTCACAATATTCAACTAATTGTGTAAGAACAAATTCAATTGCTTTAGCCTTAAGAACATTTAACTTCAGCAGTACTGAACAGAAAGAAGAACAGGAAGTTTAGGTCAAAGGGTAAACGTTATATTGAATTAAAATCAAAGTAAATGTACCAATTTTTTTCTTTTGAAATTTAAATTAGTACCCTTACGACGATATAAAATCTGTTTATTAGTGTTAAAATTGTATTGCAGTTGCAATTATTTCAAACATAATAAAACTTGTATATATGTCTATTGTTTCAGCCACGACCAAATTTCTAAGAGATTTCAAATGCGATAAAAATCCAGGTCATGAGTCATTTTACACTGTTCATGATTTCGAATTGAGTCATATCGAAAAAGATTATAGACTCGAAATCCTATATCAATTAATCAAATGTATCTCTAAACTTACTGTAAGTATTCTAGTCTCCTTCAAAAGCCAAGCAAGATACAATGTGAAACAAAGAACTGATGATATGTCTCCCGATTATTATATAGCTGAGAAAAAGGGGTTCAAGCTCAAAACTGGAATGATAATAAGTGTTGAAAAAAATTGTGAAAATAAGCAATCCCAGTGTCCATGCCAAAGTTGTAAAACTTCTGGTAACCCCAGTTCATCTTGGGGTAAAGTGTTTGTATTAACATCAAGCACTGTTGTTTTTGATAATAACGAAGCAGAGAAATCAAGTTTTAATTTGTTTTATAACTCACATAACAGTGAAGCTTACACATTGTATGGCAGTTGTGTTAGTGAAAATAATGTTGATGAAGGTTGGTGCATTGTAGAGTGTCCAACATGTGATTTACATCTCTTTGAAAGACTAGATCATTTCATCATAAGTTGCAGCGATAAAATGAATAAAATTAACACAAAATTGAATAGAGAGGAGAAAGGAGATTTTGTTTGTATTGTCTCACATCCTCATGATTTCCCTAAACAAATAACGATAGGTAAATTTGAAAAAAGGAAGATTTCAAAAATGATTGATACCACAGAACAAACCATTTATCAATACTCAACACCTACATGTCATGGTAGTGCTGGGGCGTTCGTCTACATTCTTGGAGTTAGTGATTTATCAGCAAAACATTTTCACGTTCATTTGGGTGTCAATGATTCGGGGAAAGGTTACTGCAGTATTGGAAAGGAAGAAAAAACAATTTAAAAGACATGATTAAGCCAAAGGATTAAACCTTGAACAATAAACACATCTCACTTATTTTGGCACCACATACAAAGGAAGGAAGGAATGCACCTCCTCCCCCCACCAAAACCTACCAAAATACAAGATAAATTTGATACATAATGCAATGTTATTGCAATTAAATTTATTGAGTTGTGTGTCTCTATTCACGTTATTGGAAAAAAAAAATATTATCATGGGTCACTAAATTAATATTTTATAATTTTCGTTTAATAGACTTAAATGTTTTTGTTGTATATATATCTCTACAAATAAATATATTTAATTACTTTTGTTTTAAATTTGTGCCTGTACATATGAGATCAATACATTTTATATTTCTTTTCGAAATTGGATTATAAGAATGTTATTAAATAACGACTGTAGATAGATACAATTCATTTTGACAGTGATAGTTATTTTTCATTTAATTTATAAAATAAGTTGGTTTCTTTGTAATTATTGCTCTAAGGAAATAGGTGAAAAATTCATGTATACCATTTTAAATTTACGTTTATAACAAAAAAAAAATAAAAAAATAAAAATAAGATCAAAAACGACACATTTTATAATTATATTATTTTATTAGTAAGATATAATTTTGTTACACATTCATTCGAAAAACAGTACGTAATTGTTTGCTAAATTTACAATATTTTCATATTTATATATTTCCAATTGTAAATGAGCCACACAGTATGTGCCCAAAGTAACAGAAATGAAACTCCCTCGTTTTGAGGTGGTGGCTTGTTTTTAAACTCTACATAACTCCAGCCGTCTTCAGTAGCACTTCAACTAGTTTTAATACTTCCCTTGTCACCCAGAGGTATTGTTCTTAATGGGGATTACAACGAATTAAAATGTTTTCTTCCGACATGCGAAAATCCAGCTTTTTAAACATTTGATACTTAGCTAGTAAAATAAAGAAAAGAAAATATTATTTTATTTTAGCTGGACTCTATATGTTGATTTGAAAAATTTTATTACAATAACCTGTTTAGTTTAGATATAAAATATTGAAATTTACCAATATTTTGCTTGTAGTAGCTTGATCAAATTTGTTCTTGAAATGTAAAGGTTAAGTAATTTAATATCAAATAATAATATTTATAAAATGTCTTTAATTTCAGAGGAAAAATATAATTTAATGTACATCATTCATTACAAAAGCTTTATTACTTAATTTTTTAAATTTTTAATTGTAACAATATGGTGACTGCAGTAGCTTTTCGTCTAATTAAAAATTAATTAATTTTGAAATTAATTATATTTACGATAATTGATCAGATGTTCGCACTTTCAGCCTGAAACTATATGGTGATATGGATACTTTTATTTTAATACCTTTAGTTATTTAATAGTAATCCTATTTAATTTTTTTTTTAAATATCGACTATGACAAATTTCAATACTGAACCTACCCTACCTTTATATGATTATATAAATTGTATATATTTTTCCACAAATTATGTGAGTTATGTCTTTAAATATATGTTTTTCGCAAATTAAAGGTAAGTTTGTTGTCAATGGATAGCTCATTGCCAGTACTATCCCATATTATTCATTATCATGTTAGCTGTATTTGAAATGTTGAGTTTGAGCACCGGTAATTTCAGCAAATTTTGAATTTAAAAGTGGATTGTACTTTTCATAAAAATTTAATAAAAAAAAGGGCAAACACCTATTTTTGTTCAGACGGTAGCAGTTTCCTATTGGGAGAGAGATACTTTTAACACTTGTCTTAGGATATGGGTGGCTCGAAGGACAAACTATTATTTATAGTTCATCATTAATTTGCGCATGCTTAATTAGCATGTAAAACTGGGTTTGTAAATATGTGTGGCAGAAAAAAATATTTTTAATGTGAATATTTGAAATTTACTTATTCAAGCAGTTTTCATTAACGATTGTTATATTTTTTAACAATTTAACTTTCTATATGGTTGTTTTTTTAAATACGTGAAATTTTAATCGTTTTATTATCATAGTTTTTTGTAAATTATTTCAAAATGTGTTTAAATACATTGTTAAGTAACTTTTTTAACAATGGTTATAAAATTGCCGGTAAATAAGTTTTTTTTCAAATTATTTGTAAAAAATAATTCCTTATATATATATATATATATATATATATATATATATATATATATATATATATATATATATATATGTATGTCATTTTTATGTGTGATTGGTGTGGCTGGTGAGACCAATCCTCGAATGGCAGTCTCTGTTACATTTCCCACACACGAATGCGGTGGAGCAGTATTTACCGGCCTTCCTCCTCGCTCTTTTTGCAGCTGTTTCCGCCCTGTTTTGCTCCTCGGCATGTAGTGATCCTACTTTCACGATGCCCCCCCATGAGGATCGATCCTCTGCCAGCTCATCTCAGTTTGAGATGTTGATGTTAGCCGACTTTATGTCTCTTTTGTATATGTCTAAGTATCTCAGACGAGGCCATCCAACTGACCTTTTCCCTGTCACCAGCTCGCTGTATAGCACGTCCTTGGGTATGCGATCAGATTGCATTTGCTTGACGTGTCCAAGCCAGCGGAGGCGTCTTTGGATTAACATGGCTTGGACGCTACACAAGTTTATTTGGGACAGGACATCCGTTTTGGGGACTTTGTCTTGCAATTTAATGTCAAGGATGTGGCACAGCCATCTGAGGTGGAAGCCATTAAGCCTTCTTTCGTGTTTAGAGTATGTGGTCCACGACTCGCATCCATACAGAAGTGTGCTCAGTACGCAGGCCTGGTACAAATGCAGCTTAGTTATTGTTGTGAGTTTGGCATTTGACCAGACTCTTTTCTTCAGTCTGGCCATAACAGTTGCGGTCTTCCCTATCCTCCCACTTATCTCATCCTCCATTTAGAGGGTGCTCGATATGTTGGATCCCAGATATGTGAATCTGTCAAAAGTACCCAAGTCATAGTCGTCGATGGCGATAGTGGGGAGGGAGTCAGCGCCCTGTGCCATAATGTTAGTGTTTTTAGGCTAATTGTCAGGCCCAAAGTCTTTGCAGGTAGCAGATAAGCTGGATACGAGGCTCTGCAGGCCGTCAGCTGTGTGAGATACCAAAGCGGCATCGTCTGCAAACAAGAACTCCCGCAGCAAGACCTTTCTTGTTTTAGTCTTAGCTCTAAGGCGGGCAATGTTGAATAATTTGCCATCATCTCTAGTGTGGATGTATATCCCCTCGCTGTTGTTCTGAAAGGCATACTGGAGTAGGATGGAGGAAAAGATTGCAAATAAAGTAGGAGCCAGCACGCAACTTTGCTTAAGTCCACTACTCACTGGAAAAGCTTCTGAGGCGGCACCGTTATAGCACACTGTGCCCTGCATGTTTTCGTGGAACTGCTTGATGATGTTAAGGAGTCGTGTAGGGCAGCCTATCTTTTTGAGTATCTGAAACAGGCCGCTTCTGCTGACAAGATCAAAAGCCTTAGTGAGGTCGACAAACGCAATGTATAAAGGCATATGTTGCTCCCTGCACTTCTCCTTCAGCTGGCGCAGAGAGAAGATCATGTCTATGGTTGACCTACCGGCGCGAAAACCACATTGCAATTCTGGGAGTACACGCGATGCTAGGGTCTGTATGCGTGTTAATGCAACTCGGGCGAAAGCCTTTCCAACTATGCTGAGGAGGGAGATTCCACGATAGTTGTTGCATATATATATATATATATAATTAGATTGATATTAAGGTGATACATATGAATGTATCAAAACTATTTAAAAAAACAGTACAATCATTCGTTAGCGTTTTTGCTAGTTCTTGAAACATTTAAGAAATCTGAAAGACTAAAAGTTGACGTGAAAACTTATTCGATTTTTAAAAACTAAAGTTTAATAAGTTTAAAGAAAAACTTCACTAAAATATAAAGCAATCATTCATTGAAAACGAATATTTCTAAATTGTGTCAGAAAGGTATGTTTGCATTGGACAAATGTAGTTTAAGATGTTAAATGAAAATGAGCGAACTATTTTAAAAAAAAATATATTAAGGGATACATAGTTTGATATAGCAAAAGTGGTAACCAGACAAAACGAGAAAAGACAAAACGACAAAGGACAAATCGACAACGTTTAGATTTAGGTTAGTGTTATTCTGATAACCAAATACCGTATTTTTCTAAGTATAAGTCCTATTAAAAATTCAAAAAAAATGACTAGACTTTATTTAATGTAAGGCAGTGTGTCCCAACCTTTTTGTGTGCCATAACCCACCTAAGCTAATTCAATATTCAGAAATAGTTTTGATCAATGGAAAAACTTTAATGAAAGCTTTTAGAAAAAATCAATCTGAAATTGGTGAGCAATCATAGTAAGTAAATTTTAAAAACATATATGGAGAACTGGCATTCAAACAAGAAATTATTTTAATGAAAGATATTTCTATATTATTTGCATTATTAACAATTATTTAATTCTTAACTTTCGAGATGTTTGTGTTTGATGCTTGCTGTAAAGAGATTTTGTTTGTTTCCAATTTAGTAACTTTAGTCTCAAGTCTTCCCGTTCCATTATATTCAGCCCACTGGTTTTTTGTTTTTTTTTTGGCCCCATTTTTTCCTTTTATTTTGCAGCAAATCATTTATGTAACTAAATACACATTCAACGAAATATTAAGATGAAACCTATAACATTAGCTGTCTTGCACCTTTGTTTGAATTTGGATATTTGATTTCTGTTTACTCACAAAGCCCTGTCATCGCTCCTTTTATATCAAAACAAGTTTTAACTTACTTATCATTTTGCATGTCTAGGAGTTCTTTTTGATACTGCGTATATACAGTATAAGAGAAATCCACTAGTCTAACATTATCTGAATCATCCAAGTTGGAAAATCTACTTGTTTCAAATTAGAATATCTTTCTTTTAAATCAGCCGATAGAATTTTCGGCAATCCTCCGAAGTCCGGTCCCAAATTATTTCGTATGTAAAAAATTGCAATACACAGTGTGTTTTGCTATAAAACAACAGAAATGTCAGTCATAGCTTTTGCAAATAAAAGTTAAATTACCAACCAGTCATTAAATACTTAATGTTGTAATTGGTGCATA